GCAGCAATCAGAGACTAGCATTTTGTGTGTGTTAAGAGAACCTTTATTAGGCTCACAATGGGGACATGTCACTTGTCGGAACAGCAATAGAACAAAAAATAAACAAGAAAATGTACTTTCAGTAAATGGAGTAATGGAGGAAGTGATACTACACTGTGCAAGTAGTGACACATTTTAGGCTACATAATTAGAATATTACAGTATTGTGACTGCTTATGACTAAGGTTTTGTACATTATATAAAAGACAACAGTGAATAGCTTTAGGGTCCGAATAGTGTAGTACCAATGTCATTCACTTTACCTTACCTCTTAAAGGGATAGTTCGGATTTTTTTACATAAATCTGTATGGCATCCCCGTCATCAGTGTTGTGCATTCACACCGACTTATCCCCGAAAGCGTCCGGTGAGCCGAGATACTGGCCCGTTTTGGTGCTGAGGAAAGTAGTTCGGCAAGTTGTGTGGGGACTGTATACTAAAGCGTTTTTCTTCTCAAAGCAATATGTGTTCAAAAGAGTGATACATTTGCATCACAAAACCATCGTCGCCAAAAAAGTCAGATCAAATAATCGCTTGGCGCTATTTTCTCTCCGTACGTACCACTGCGCGCGGCCGCCAGGTGACAGCCGCGCACGGATCCATCACTTTCTTCAGTTGTTCGGCAGTGTTTACATGCGCAGACCGCCGCCACGCGAGAGAGCTAACGAGAGAGCTAGAGCCAGAAGTATATGAGCTTGTATAAGATACATATGAATATATCTAAAAAATGGTGCGAACTCTTGATTATCCAGGCTGTAACAAGAAAAATCTGGCTGAATCTCCACGCACATTTCACTGTTTTCCTGTCACGGACTTTGCGCTGAGGAAACTTTGGCTTCTTGCCTTTGGCTTCAATGTGGAAACCAAACCAGGTAAGAACGAAGAAGTGCCGCTATGTTTACAAGAGAACAGGTTCAAGAATCAGCTGTAACTCTGTGTGCAGTAAATCACTCAGTGTCATATCACCAGTGAAGCTTCTACAAAACGTAACTTTATAAGTCGACTGTTATTACTATTGTAAATGTCACATACACTATTGGCAGCAGCTACGTGGACGTGTGAATGATTCTATGTTTCTATTAGTCGTCCATGCTTCAGTCACAGTAGGCTCTATGTTCGCTGTATATGAGTTTATAAATTACGTGATGGTGATTGTCTCTCACTCGGTCTCTCACGGCTCCAGCGTCAACTGCGCATGTAAACACTGCCGAACAACTGAAGAAAGTGATGATCGGTGCGCGGCTGTCACCTGGCGGCCGCGCGCAGTGGTATGTACGGAGAGAAAATAGCGCCAAGCGATTATGAGATCTGACTTTTTTGGCGACGATGGTTTTGTGATGCAAATGTATCACTCTTTTGAACAAATATTGCTTTGAGAAGAAAAACGCTTTAGTATACAGTCCCCACACAACTTGCCCAACTACTTTCCTCAGCACCAAAACGGGCCAGTATCTCGGCTCACCGGACGCTTTCGGGGGGTAAGTCGGTGTGGATGCACAACACTGATGGCGGGGATGCCATACAGATTTATGTCAAAAAATCCGAACTATCCCTTTAAGTAGTTTCTCCTTCTCCCTCAATAACACTTTTTATCATATTTATATGCACACCAAAGATTCTTTTCTATGAAATAGCAGCTTCTCTGTGCAACTCGGCCAGTACACCTCCATGGCTGCGGCCTTACCGACTTGTCAAAGCCTGATCCCGTCAGATCTCAGAAGCTAAGCAAGGTCGGACTGGGAAAATCGGTTACCACAGTGGAGCACCAGTCGTTGTGTCCTTAGGCAAGGCACTTCTCCCACATGAAACTGGTGTGTGCTTGAGTGATGGTGGTGGTTGGAGGGGCTGGTGGTGCAGATTGCATCCTCGCTTCCTTCAGTCTCTCCCAGGGTAGCTCTGGATACCATAATAGCTTACCACCTCTGGGTATGGAGTGAATGAATAATGCTCTGTAAAGTGTCTTTGAGTATGCAGAAAAAAACATTTATAAAACCAACCTTTCAAACATACACTGGCACTTATGCCAGTGACTGGTGCCCGCTGACATGGCACGGTGGCATTGCCCATGTTAATTATGCTAATTATGCTAATTGTTATTATTCACCCCAAAAGGTAGGCCGTGAAAACAGCACAAAGTGCTCTCCCCTTATCAAACACTTAATGCCACTCAATAGTGACACTCATGGCATTCAGTAGTATAGACTGGCATTACCCATTGCTGCGATAGCGGAATAATTGTAATCGTTAACTCTTGTAAACTCCAAACACGTGCATTGGGTATGTGAGTAATCGAATAGATCAATGACGAGCGCATTGGACAATGGACCCCATGGGTGCGTTACTGGACACAAGCACTTTCCAATGACATATATATGTGCCACCATAGGTGGCCCTATATTGTCATTGTTCTTTTTCTTCTTCTTCTTATTTTTCTAACCACTTGGGCACATTTCAGCAACTTGCCGCTGACGAAAGCTCACCAAATTTTGCACAAAATTCAAGAACGCCAAAATAGGAATTTACAAATACAACACATCAAAAAACTTAAAAAATGGCGCGACAGCTCCCCCTGCAAAGTCAAAATACATTGCACCTATGGCTATACCCAAAAAATCAACATTGTCATAGACAAATTAAATTTGGGTGGTGGATAGGTCTTGTCATTCCAAATATATTATACGGTTGCTAGGCAACCAACAGGAAGTCCGCCATATTAGAGCGACCGTGCAACCTTGCGCCGAAGGCGCAATTACCTGTCCTCATACTTGGACAAACTCGGCTCGCTATCAAACTTTGTCGAGTGATAATTCGCACAAACTGTTTCCAATTTCACTCAAACTGTAATCGTTGGTGGACAACTTGACCCTGAACAAATGCATATAAGAAATTCTCAAATGGGCGCAATAGTGCCCCCTAGGGAAATTTCATGGAAGAGCAAATATGTACTTTGTCATAGACATATAAAATTTTGTACACACATTCGTGACATGGTCTTGATCAAAAAAGTCAATGATATCCCCATGCCATTTCCCATTCTGTTGCCATGGTGACAGGCCAAACATCTGTCCTCCCCAATAGGACGCCCAACAAAAACTTTGGCATAGCCAAACAAAATTTAGTACACAGATGCACCATGGAAATAGGAACAAAAAAGTATATTACACGGTTGCTAGGCAACCAATAGGAAGTCTGCCATATTGGACTGATCGCACAACCTGGCGCCAAAGCTGCAATTTCCTGTCCTTGTACTTTAACAAACTCGTCCTCGGGCGTTTGACCCAGACTCACCTAAATCATTCTGCATCATCTAGACAAGTGGAATATTAAAAGTTGTTAAAAGCTTTTTAAAAGGTCAAACGATGTTGCCGCAACAATGGTGCAAATTTCGGGTTAGTTTTTGCAGCTCGCCATCAAAGTTCAACGCGTGATAAATCACATAAACTTTGGCCAGATTCACTCAAACTTTAATTGTTGGTGGACACTCCGACGCTGAACAAATTTATATATGAAGAAAATCTAAAATGGATGCAATAGCTCCCCCTAGGGAGATTGCATGGAACAATAAAATTTTACTTTGTCGTAGACATACAAAATTTGATACAAACATTCATGACCTGGTCCTGATGAAAAAAAAGTCAAAGAAGTCCACACTCCATCTCCCATCGTGTTGCCATGGCAACAGGCCAAAAATCAGTCCTCACCAATAGGATGTTCCTATTCTGAACTTTGACGTACTCAAACCAAATTTGGTACACAGATGCATCATGGGAATAGGAACAAAAAAGTATATTGTGACCACGCCTCCTTCCCAAACCGAAAGTCCACCATTTTGCATTTAAAATAAAGTCAACACATACAGAAATTGAGAAAAATGGTTGGGTTCGGTCAAGATTAGGGGTTAGGCTAGGGTTCGAGGTTTGGGTTAGGGCTAGGGTTAGGACTAGGGCTGCGGTTAGGAGTTTGGGTAGGGTCAGGGGTTAGTGTTAATTTAGGAGTTAGGGCAAGGGGTAAGGTGCATTCGTAGGGCACGGCATGTGCAGGGCTCAGCATGGCCGGAGTGCGGCGTGGCATGGGCGCAGCATAGGCGCGAGGGCCGATCATTGCTGCTTGCGGCTATTATTATTATTATTATTATTAATTATTTATTTTATTTAATTTTTTTAACTCCTTGAACTTCGGGCTGTCTCAGGATTCTATTCTTGCCTCAGTCCTATTTTTGCACTTTAAAAGTCTGCTAAAGGCACACCTATTTGTACAAGCGTTTACCACCAACTAAGCTGCAGCACCTTTCAATTTTATTACAGGCAAATTATTATTATTTTAACCTTAATCATCTTAATTTTGTTGTGTGTGTGTGTGTTTGCGCGCATTGGGGTTTACTGTTGTATGTTTAGCACTTTGGTCAACTGTATGTTTTTGGATCAATAGGCCTAGCTCTGCATTCTGGGAAAAATGTTTCCTTGAAACCATAGACTGTAGTCTATGCTTGAAACGAAAACCATGGAGAGTCATTAAAATTATAAATAAAGCGCAATATACATTTTACTAGACTCCTGCCATCTGCTAGGCACTCCTTACGACACTGCATAATTTCCTTGAAACGGTCATGAATGATGCTTGTTCCTGCTATATAACAGGAACCGAGTTCTGCCCGCCGAAAAATGCATCCCCATCTCGCCGAAACTACCTGCCATCAGTCTCTTAGTTTTGATAACATACATATACAATACATAGTTTTTTGGGTGGGATGCATATTGGCAGAGTCTGGCAGTGGTATATGCATGATATTGTTATTGATACAGAAAGTATAAAACTAAAAGTATTAACCAAAGATCTAGGACAAAATGTAAACGATTAAAAAGCTTTAGTTACAAGTCTACAAGCTACAACTGTAAGTGACAGAAGAATCTGTTATGAGTAGTCCTGACGTATGTGCTTTGTTTTCGATTTCTGAAATTCTGATGCCCGCATAAACACACGCCAATAATAAGAGCCAATTATCATTGGATTATCTGATTACTTTGAAGCCACGGAATCAGTTTCTTTTGTGCGTGCCTTTAGTGCTCCCATAGCGCATGCGCCTCGTGGATTCATGGCAGCCATGGTAACGGAGAGACGCTTCAACATGGCGCGCGCAGGGTAGAAACGACTCTCATGCAGCTGGTGCGTGGATCTATTATAGTTCAATGTGCTGAGATGAACGCTTCGATGAGACAAACGTAGCTCGAGGATAGTGCAGAAAACAGTGCTGGTGTTGTCATAGATGAGAGCATATATGTTGATGTCGCTCAGGTTCACTCTATCCCCATTTAGTATATTAGCCGGACTGTTAGCCGTTAGCATTGCAATGGGTTCATACTAAATGGAAGTGTTTACGAAGCATCTCACTGCATAATGGCTTTCTACGAGGTGTATTCTCATCCAGCTTTGATCCGGTACAGAAGCAGCGTGTGCACTAAAGCCACGCTGTTTGCCGTGGTGGCCCTCTGCCTCACGTACATCCCTCCTCTGCTCGTGGCCTACAGAAGCCAAGGTAAGTGCTAAGTTTGGAAAGGGTCGTCACTCAGTGTGTGTAATAAAGTGCATTTGACAGATTCATATATTTTTCTAATAATAATGATCATAGTTTGTTAAGTTAAGTTTGTGAAGATCTTTTATTTTATTTTTTTTTTATTTGCAGCAGATTTCATCAGCATTTCCTCAGAGTGTGAAGCTAAGTGAAAGCACTACTCTGTCAGAAGCTCTGTTACTAAAATTAGATATTAATCTGAGCTTTAATTTAACACAGTCTGACTAGAAAGAGCTGATTGAGCTGGTTGCTTAGTAACATACTCTAGTACAGTATTATCTTACCTGTCAAACCAGTAGGCTAAGTAAAATGATAAACTGCACCAGGATTACCAAACTAGAAAATCACTAAAATTTAGTGGTTTGATGTTAATTATGTTTTAGAGAAATTAGTCAAATGTGACTATGTGCTTTAAACCTGCCCCATCACACTGTGCAGGGTTTTGGCTGAAAACGAAAACATATGAAGAGCAGCCAGTAGTGCGGTTCCAGTACCAGACAATATTGATGGCCAGCACTAGTGCTCAGGGGGACTACGTGGCCTGGAGCACATTTCCTCACTTCAACCACCTGGTGGGCGCCCGCTTGCGCATCCCATCACTGTCGGTGAGTCCGGACACTGCACTCCTCCAAGGGTGTGTGCTGGAGACTGCTTTGTGTTGTTCTGTATGTATATCTGTGCTTAGTTAGTTTATTTATTTACTTATTATTTCAGTGACAGTGCATATTAATGAACATTTCTGTAAATATGCCAGAATTGGGCAGTAAGGTCTTTCATCTGTAGTCCTGTAACAGATGTTTATGTCAGCTTAAAAACAAAAAAGGATCAAATGTAACAGTATTCAATAAGCAAATATTTTTACCATACAAGGCACAGGCACCTCAACCAACAATCCTACAGAGACACCCCTCATGAAATACTCATAAAATAATTACACAATTACATAATTACATAATTGTGGGTATGAGTTTCCAGCCAGAGGAGCAGTACCCCAGTTCTCTAGCTGTTCCTCTGGTTCTGCTGTGACTGGTGATTCTGATGATGAAGACCTTGACAATTTTTTGTGCTGGTTACATATGACAGGTGAGAGAGGAGGATGACAATCAGGATGGGAAACTTGACCGTCTCTTGCTGGATATGCAGCTGCCCCTGAGAGCAGAGGAGCAACTCTACAGCCTGCAACTGCTGCTCACATTCAACTACCAGCTCTTTGTATGTACCACACATATCACACATACACACACACCTCTGAGATCCTTGCCTGCTACAACTGTGTGTGTTTGTCTAGCGCATGTCAACTGTGGTCATGCAGAGTCTGGCCTGTGTGCACTATTCTTCTGCTGTCCCTGGGGCTCGCCTGTTCATCAGTGGAGACTTGCGGCTACAGCAGAGGGCTCCCCTACCTCATCGCGGCCTCTACAATGTCTACAATGTGAGAATATGGCTTCACTTACAAATGCCAACCTTTTGTCTTTAAAAGTAGGACATTTTCAATATATTGTGTGTTGCAGGTCTCTGTGATTGACAGCTCCAGCCCATTTGCAAGTGCCTATGAGTTTGATGACATCATCAGAAAGTACCAGCAGAGAAACTGTTAAGTGCCTCTTGTAGTCTTTCTCTAAATAGCTCATTGTGGCTCTGGTGCAGAACAGCTAGATATTCAAAGCCTATATAGTTTACACATTTAAATACTTTTTGTGTCCCTACAGTAAGAAATCATAATGCAGAGAGACCACTAAAATGATTTTAAAACAAGTCTGACAGCACTCGCCACCTTAACACAGTTAAAACTACTCAGTCATTGAATTCCTTTATACAGTAGAGTATATAATGACCCTTCTGTCTGTCTGCTCTGGCCCTCTGCAGTGACCACCTTTCTGTCTACTGCGATGCCTGTGTGGACGCCAGGACGAGCACCCACTGCCCCTTTTGTGCTCAGCGCCGAGATCCACTACTCCACTGAGACGATTACATATCCTTCAGACAAACCAGGTTAAATATGTTAGGTATTAGCAGTAAAATGCCCCATAGAAGTAAAATACCCAATCTTTAAGTACATATGACAGGTTTTAATGTATTTCAAATGATTACATAGTTTTACATCAGTGGAATCAGTAAAATAGTGGCGAGTTGTAAAAAGGAAATCTCCTATGCACAAAATTCCCTCCAAAATTATGATACGTTATAACAACAGTTTGTGATTTTGTTTCTGGTATGGTTAGTCATGCAATTATCTATACTTATGTCACATGTGATACCCATGTTCAATAAGGAAGTAAAATGATAAATATCACCAAAATTGGAAAAACAATAACAGATAAGGAAAATGCTTGTCTCCAAGAAGATGTTTTTGCTTTTCCTAGATTGCAAGCTGTAAGAATGCTTGTGTTTATTAATAACAGCTCTAATTGAATCAATGCTTGATATATAAGTATACTGCTATACTGTACATTTGGCAAAGCTAGTTTTTCTATGAAGACAACAGGTGATGGACCTTCCATGAGAAAAGTTACACAGTGCACCTTTAAGTCTGAATAAAAAAAAATCAACATCAACAAGACAAAAGAATAGGGTATTTACAAGAAAAATGAAATAGGAAAACATGGCTTTGAACATTTTACCTTCAACCCCCCTTTGATGTACAGTTACACTTTTCCATATCAGCATTTCTAGAACCTCCTGTGGTGGAGCAGATAAGCAAATAAAAACATGGCCCTACCATATGGTGTAGACATGTTATTGCTTTGCCTCAAATGTTCCATGGATGCTTTAAACATATCAGTCTCTTCAGAGATTGTGACATAACCAAGCCAAGTTACAAATCATATTGTTTTGAGGTATTTGATCTTATTTTACCAATAAAAAAACATGTAATTTAATAAATGTTGGATAGTTACATTTCATACCAGGCAAAGCAATTGATACTTTGCAGTGACATCACGCTGGGGATGTTCTGGATGAATTTCTGTGGTGGAATATTCAACACTTACCATGGTGACACAATGCAGATTAATAAACACTGTCAAAAAAGTGTTAGGATGGTCTGAAAACACAAGTAAAAATGCCAATGCTAATACCTAGCTTGGGATTGTAATTTCATGTGAGAAGGACTAATTTAACAATACAAACTCAGCTCACCTTGTGTAGTTCCAACTAAGTCAATTAATTTATGGTCAAACTGTGTTAAAACAAAGTATCTGACTAAAGTCGCAGAGCTTCAGACAGAACAGAGCATACAGTTAGCTTCACACCCCCAATTTTAATGACATTGGCTGCAAAGTGTCAATGCAAAGATCATGATCTGTAACTTGGCTTGGTGACCTCACATGCTGTCTTTAAAGACACTGATACATTGGAATCACTGTGTAACATTCTAGGCAATGTAGTAACATGTCCATGTAGACTAGCATGTGGCAAATCCTGCATCAAACTACATAACTGCACCTTTAGTCATAGTCATTGAACATAATGCAATGTGGTGTTACTCAGCTCTTGAGAAGGAGATGGTTTCAGCATGTAGGATTACTCAAACATGTAAACAACATGCAACTCCCCATGTGTTTATGATCTGTGTAAAGAGGTCTTGTGGAGGGATGCACCGATCCAGCGTTCACTTCCAATACCAATATCGATACTTTGACTTTAAGAAACTGTTGATACTCCATAGCAACCGATCCCAGTGTAGGGACTGAAAATGGCACTTATTTCCTTAAAACATGGTTAACTGATTACACAAGACACCCAGCTGTTATTTATCCTTCAAATAACCACTGAACTGCTTTGTATGAATAAAAGTTCAAATATTCTGCACCAAAATCATCAGTAAATAGTCTTATTACATCCATTTAAAGGCCCAACCAGGATATCGGCTGAACTGGTATCATGGAACTGATATCAGATTCAGATCCATCAAATCTTTCAATATTGGTGCCTGTATTCAGTACCAGTGCCAGTATCAGTATCAGTGCATCCCTAGTCTTGTGTATGGAAATATGAGCCCTTTTCTTGTCCTGTTGTCAGCCTTAACAGTGCTGTTCACATACTACCCTGGTTTTTGGGAAACCATCAAATTTGCCTGGATCCAGTACGTGAGTGTCCTGCTGGTGTTCCTTTGGGTGCTCCAGCGCATCCAGACCTTTGTGTTTGAGAAGCAGCTCCTGACCACTGTACCAGGGGAACCAGCCCACCACCACAAACTGCACTGAGGAGTCCTGTCACAGAGCACGTTCAGAGGGCCCAGACGGCATCGGACTAAATGCATTTACAGATACAAGCTAAATGTGTCACAGATGCTACTGTTTTCATAGACCTGCTGATGGAAGTATTTAGACATTTATTTGCTAATGAATAGCACATTGTTATTTAAAGTTTTGTTTCCCACAAATCTTTTTAATAAAATTCTGTTATACACGACCAATCAAAAGTTTGAACACACTTTTTCATTGTTTCTTCTTTATTTCAATGCTTAATTACATTGTAAATTCTCACTGGAGGCATCAAAAATATGAATGACAGATGCAGAATGTAGCGAACAAAAAATAAACTCAAAATGACTTGTTTTAGATTTTAGATTTTTAAAAGTACCCTTTGCTCTGATCACTGTTTAACCTTTTGGCATTTCTTGACACAGACATGGCACAGCTGTGAAGTGAAAACCATTTCAGGAGACTTCATCATGAAGCTCAGTGAGGCAGGCTTTGCAGCACTGTTGACAAAGTAAAGGGTGGATGGATACTTTGAGCTTTTAAATTTTAAATATTTAATAAACTTGAGTTTAACATTTTTCTTTGCTACATAATGTCATATATCTTACATCATATATTTGATGTTCTCCATATGTGTCTACTACTCCATTTTAAACATAACAAAAAAACAAAAAAAAAACTGAATGAGAGGGTTTACCCAAACCTTTGACTGGTAGTTTTATGTCTGCCTCTTTTTGGTAAAGAATAAATTATTTGTTGGGAGTCAATTACATCTCTTAGATCATCAGTCATCATTACTGTTTTTTGTATATGTGCATTAAATGATATTAGATGTTTTGGAACAGTCTTTTTGTCCAATAAAAGCTTGTATTTTCAATATTCACCGAGTGGTTGTAGTAAGGGAAGAGGTCTGATGGAAGTATGGGGTAACACATAACATATTTATTATTTATTCAAACATGTATGGACAACATGTACAATTTCTTCTGGCATGTTTTTGATGAGGGAAACATTATAACATGGTAGAAGTTTAAAAAAAAAAAAAAAAAAAAGACTTTGCATAATACCCCCTCGAACCATACCGGCCTGTTTCAGGGGCCAAAGTGGACCCTGGGAGTAGGACTGGACAATATAGGGTAATAATGAATCATGATTTCTTTCCCCCATTGATCAATCTTGATTTTCCATTTTTATGTTTTGTCCTTTAATTTCATGAATACAAATAATACAGGGGTTTCATCTGTGCCATTTCACACTCAAAAAAATAAATCATACTGTACACCTCTTCCTCTAAAGTCTTTCGTCTGCTCCAAACCACATGCTTTTTACTGGCAGAGGATTGGCTGTAGACATCTCCATTCAAAAACTCCAACCATATTAATTGGTCTGGTCCTCTTTGGCTCCAGGTCTGCTTTAGCTAAGGAAAGGCTCCGCTAAATGCTGACTGGTGATAAACTGATGTATTTTCTGTGACAGCAATTTATATGCTGAGAAAACATGCTTAGGAAAACAAAGCTGGCAGACAGTGGCTATAGCTGTTTCCTGTATATCAATAGATGGCATTGGTGTGAAGTAAATATTATATTTCTGGTACATAATGCATTTAACATTAGCCAAATGCAGTGCATGACATAATGAGGCGTACATTTTAAAATTGCAGAAAAAGTTGACCATAAATCTGAAATAAATTCTTGTTTCATCTAGCTTTAACCGTGTCTCAACAATGTGTCAAACTTGGAATTTCTCAATGTCTTTTTGTCCTTATTATTAAAAAATACATCTCAGGCATGATTTAGATGGTATTTATTAAAAACATGAGTTGTGTTTGGCTGATGTCAGGTACTCATGGAGCAGAGGCCCCTGAACCCAGAGTCTGGAGCATGGAGATACAACTCAACTGGAGGTGGCTATACCAAACTGACCAAGGCAGGCCCCAGTGAACTTTTCCCATTGAAACACAGCTCATAGAGACCAAAGACCAAAGTGCTGACCCTCCCTCTTAGTCTGAGTCATTGTATTCAAGTCTGGGAATAGCCCAACACCTTTGTGAGGATATGTGATCCTATGTCAGCCCCCTCCTCTGTCACAGAATTCCCTTCAGCCAGGAGGAAATGGCTACATCCTGCAGCTCCGGCTTCAACTTCACACAATAGAATATCATGTTCACACTGAGGCTCTTTACACTGTGAAAAAGAATCATCTTTTTTTTTATTTTATTTTAAAGATTTCCTAAATGATGGAACATGTTCAGTGGAGGGTCCATTGGTTTGAACCCCATTCAAGTGCATACTGATGTCATAGCCAATATGACCACCAGGGCTGGCACAGAGCCTAAAGGGAACAGAGCAGCCTAAGAGAAGGGAGAGAGAACTAATCATTGTGACAGGGCCCAAACATTTTCCTACAGCTCAGTAAATCCAGACTAGTGTCACTAGTGTAGTGTAGTTTCTTGGTTCTTAAAGGTCAACTACTGTTTTGTTTGTTTGTTTGTTTGTTTGTTTGTTTGTTTTTTAGGGGAAATTGTCTACCCCCCACCCTTAGTGACAAAATGTAAAAGTAAGCTTGAGTGACAATGTGCAGCTGGGGTAAGTTGTCATGTCCGACAATAGAAGAAACAAAGACAGGGTGGGGTGAGTTGTCACACTTTTACGTTTATCAGAAGTGGGCCAACAAAGCAAGATGAAATTCAAGATTTAAAACTGGGAGAAGGAGAGAGAAGTGTACAGAGGGAGGGTGGGAAGGTCAGAGGGGTACATGACTTGAATGAAAAGTCAAGTTTTAATTTCCTTTTTGCTGAGTATTTGTGTAGGGAGGGGACAGTCCTTTGGAGCTGTGTTTGTAACCTCCTTTTTATGTCGTCTCACTTCTCACGTTTGGCCACATCTTCAGACCAAGTCCACCTCTGACACTTTCCAGCTGACCAGGAAGCTCACAAGAAAATCATGAAAGAACATTTGAGAAATTGTTAACTTTGTGGTTTCAAAAACATAATTTTCCTTCAGTTTTTACACTCTCACAGGTGCATGCGTGTGTTCATTTTGAGCCATTCCATGTTTTCTGTGGCACTGCCATACAAAGTCTGAGTGTTATTTGTGCCACCTGGTGCCACATAGGCCAAAAGGAGCATTTCCAAAACAGGGTAGTACTCAGTAACATTTACTTGAGTAAATTGTACTTTTCCTAGCAGAAATGTACTACTTTTCCTCCTGAGTAATACAATGAGTAATACATTTTATTAAAGTAACTCAAGTAAAAGATGTGGTTACTGTGAACAAGACAGTGGAAACATTTTTGCAGATTGATCATTTTGGACCCTGTCACAAAGTCTGCATGTGCATGTTCTAGACATCTGAACTCAGACTGAAAAAGGTCCCATAATACATTAGTTGGTCAATGCCCATCCTGTTTTTTGTCAATAAAAAATATAATAGGCCCATGTCTGGTATCACCTCACACATAAAAAATGAAGATGCAAGCTGCTTGCATTATATCCCTGTAAAGGGTTTTATTGCAGATTTCACCTATCCATAAAACACGAGGAGTTGTATATATTAGCCAGTGTACTTGAGTCAATAGCGTTACGCCCATAGGTTTAAAAAAAGAAAAAATCTCACTTAGATAATATTTCATATATAAACATGAATCATGAAAAGATTGAATAATTCAATGAAAGTTAAGTTGAATTTTTATCCTGAAATCTGCGTTTCCCATGGAATGGCCCCATATTCGTTCTATGGCTAAATGACTGAGAATTCTATCCGTGGGTGTGTGTGGAAAATAATTTCTCTTATAGTAGGTGTTCTGCTGGAGATACAGAGCTCATCTTGGGCTTAATTTGAAGCTGATAAATTGGTGAAACAATAATTCCATGCGAATGTGTCTCAGTCAATTCGTTTGTGGAGAGGATTGGTCTTTGAGAAAGTTTTAATACATTTTTATTTCTATAAATGGTCTAATAGACGCTATTGTAAACAGCCCTGTAAGGTTATATTGTTCTTATTCCTCACCATTTCAACATTCTTTGTTCCAAAATTCACTACTACGTGACACTGTATGTGATTACAGCAATACTTTTAACAGACTCATATAATTTGGCAAAAGGTTTGTCCCACAAAATGGATTTTAGGTCCTGAGAGCGAACGGGGTCGAGCTGAAACTAAAGACCCCGTAGTGTCACTCATGAAAAATAGCTATAGGCACATTATGAATGAATGAGGTAGCAAAAATAATAGTGAAAGGTTCAGACTCCCGGGCTATTTCTACACTTACTTGATTAAAATTTGGCTACTCTACCTACCTCTGCCTACAGGCTTATATGGTAGAGCTAAACAAACTTCTGTCTTAATTGGTTATTATTTATAGAAGCATTTAGCCTAAAAGCAGCCATGGTTTAGCCAAAACTATTCGAGGCCATGAGGATTCCTCGGCTTCCTTGACGCACAAGAGCGCATTGTGTGGAGGTAATCGGAAGCAGCCTGTTTTCTCTGACATGATTCAGCACATCAGCAGTCTGCCCATGTTATCTACCCGCAGCCCCGGGGAACGGACCACCCCCCGCCCATCACCGGCCCGGCCCACAGTTTGCCGCGCACGGACCTGCTGGCCACGTCTCAAAACTACACAGTGCGTGTGGCCGCAGGAGCACGGGCACAGCCGCTCTTCACAGCCGCTCTCCTCTGCGCGCACGGTAACGGGACGTCGAGTGTGGAAACACGGTAAGAGTCCGTCTGCTGGGATCGGGCAGAGAGCACAAAGTTAGGACTGTGTTTTTTCGGAGTTGTTCGTTTCCAAGGGAACGGAGCTGTGCCTCTCTCGGTGCTGGGACTTTGTGTGCTTTTGGGGTTTAATGCCTGCACCTCGTCCTGTTAACTGTACTCCCGGTATAGTCTTCACGCGCGGTTTAGTCACGTTTTAGTCACGTTTCAGCGCTGGAGTCGGCCAGAACCAACTGTTTTCATGGTTTAAACTTTCCTACAATGTGTCTAATTTTCACTGACTATTAGCCTGTTTAAGTGTGGTAGATTAATTTAGGACCAGATAGCCTACCCTCTTTTCACATAATTCACACACTTAACCCTATTATTTTATGTCTGCAGTGTAGATTATGTAGACCTACTATTAATGTATCATAAATAATACAAGCTCAATTTAAAACTGTTGAGTCTAAACATTATGCACACAATCCTAGAGTAATAATACAAATAATAATCTTTATGTAGGCGTTTAGAGATGAATGAACACAAATAAGCCTACAAAATAAATACATCAGCAGACACAGACACAACAATTTGGCCAAGGTATGGATTTTAAAATATTGATTTTGATTTTGATTGCCCAGGAAAAAATATGTGTCTTATCATGCCCCAGATAAATTTCAGTGATCCGGGGAACTGTGTTTACACAGAGTTGGGTAGAGTAGCCAAAAATTATACTTAAGCAAGAGCAATGTTACTTCAAAATAATATTATTGTAGAGGTACAAAGCTGTGGTCCACAAAATGACTCAAGAGTATGCAATATTTGGGAAAAGTAGTACTCAAATAAGAGTAACTTTACATGTACCTGTCGGGATGTAGCATCTGATTTTTAAACTTGTAAATTAATGAAATTGGATGGAAAGAAGATTAAATAGTGCACAAAATCTGATATTTTCAAAGGATAAAAATGAGACAAACTAAATGATATCTGAAGGAGTGGCGCAAGAAACACAAATGTTCAAATCATTTCATATTGTCAAAATAATTTTTTTTTCAGTAAATGTAACTGAGTACTATCCACCTCCGACTCTAGGGCTGCATGTTGAGTGTACAGCACACTCCAGCTATGCTTCAAGAGACATTTTATTGAAAACACCTAGGAAAATATTGCCCATGTCTTTGGAGGAGCACACACTTATTTTAGACCAGGTATAACACAAACAGTACTATGTGCAACTGGGTACTAGTTTAAGTTAAAATTTTTGGATAACTGACTGACTGTCTTAAAAAACAAAAACAAAAAACAACCAACAACAAAAAAAGCAACAACAACAAACAAACCAAAAAACAGTACTAGTTCCTGGACACATCTGGACATATCCTAGTTAAGCAATACACAATGAACTTATGACCTCAAGACCTGCTTAATAATTAAATGCTGTGTTGCTTGAATGGACCCGATACAAGATACAATACCGATTCTGATACAATGATGATAATTGTCACCGCATCAATGAGACAGTGGCAGAGATGAGCATACACTGTAAAATATGAAAGTGATAAAAAAAAAAAAAAGGCCATTATTCCCTCGTTTCATTTGCTGATTTTTTTCTTTGAAGAACAGATGCACGAGTCCAAAGGGCTTGCTCTTGTAGTTTGATGTGAGCAATGATAATGTTTGAAAATTATACAGCATTGGGTGGTAAAGCTGATTTGCATGCACAGCAGAGGAAGAATATAAAGAGCCATAAGCACCAGATGGAAGCAGGTATTTATTAACTGAGCATTTTACATGTTTACATATTCACATATTATAATATTTTAATTCATAAATTAGGGCACCAAACTATTTTATTATTAGCCTATTTTAATGAATTAATTATTATTATTTTTCTCTTTTATGCCCATATTTCTCTTTTGCGTGCGTGGAGCAGAGTGTGTGTTTAATGCTTAACACTTGTATTGTACATTCAGCCCATTATTAGATCAAGACCTTGGCTGTTTAACTGCTGACGGTATCATCTTGGCCAGAGGTCAACAAACTTTTTTCTCTGGAGGCCACATTGTGTCACTCCTGACTGTGATGGGGGGCCGGTGTTCGGTCAGCAGTATAAAAGAATTGTATGATCCTGACGACGCAGATTATATTCTTTGAAAACCTCCACATTTTTTTTTTTTTTACAAATCAGACAAATTGCACGGTCCTTACACTGAACGTCGTCCACTGTTCTTTGGCAACTCGGCATTCTCTGTCAACTTTTCATACTTACTTTTCATAACATGAGCCATTTTACTGTCTTTAACTGCACTACAGAACTCTGCGCGTGCATTGACTGTCACTGACCTCGAGCTTGTCAGTTGATGAAAATGCTGTGGCAAATATAATTATGTCATAAAATATTTTTAATAGAAATTTAAATACTTCATATAAATATCATTTTCTAATTGAAAAAATCAACAAAATACAACATGCAGATGTGTTATTATCTGCCAAGAAGTAATTAAAAAAAATAGGTCATGAAAACTTTTGAGGACTGCATCATAGGGCCAGTTTAAGTGGTGGGGGGAAGAGGGGCAGAAGGGCTATGGGACCTGTCAAAGGGGCATGGAGGGCCTGAGTTGGCTCGGGGCCTTAGTTTGATGACCCCTGATCTTGTCTGTGCTCCCCCTAGAGGACAGTAGGTTAACATTAGCTTCCATACTCACAGAAGCTTCCTCTGATGAAGTATTTACATTGACATAAAAATGCTGTGTGTGATTATCCTTGTGTAACTTGCTGTTGTCTGTCTCATATTTAAATCTAGATTTATTTTTGCATGACTCAACTAATTCCCAATACACAATGAATGGAGCAGGAAGTGAGGATCTGCAGTTTTTGAGAGAATCGGAAATAGCCAGGCAGCTGTGTGAATACAACCTATTGAACACCATTTGCACACAATGACACTCTAGGGGCCTAAAGACCTCTGGGTGGACTGGCATTCAGGGCCTATTGCTTTTCCAGTCTCTCTGCGTTAGGATTGAAAATCATATAGTGTTACAATTATTATTAGTGCATATAACAGGTTAGAATACTTTTTATTAAAACACATTGAAAACTTTTCTGGTGAAGGGCCCGTCAAATGCTTTCCTCCATGGATATGTTATTGGTTTATTTTGGAATGTTTCACAGTATAATATTAAATCTTTCTATCTTCATGGAGACCAAACCAATCCTAGTTATAACAGACAAAAGAATGTATATTTGAGCTATGAAACCAATTGAATAAATGTAAGGTAGAGCTGTTTAATGTCATACTGTGGAACATTCCAGGCACAGCAATGACATATCCATAGAAACAAGCTATGAGGCGCCCCCTAGGCCATATATCAGGAATAGGTCACACATAATAATGCAAGCTTATACTTGTACTACGTTTCCTTGCACATGCAGATGAAAAGCTTGCACATACACGACATTTTCTTGCATACTGTATGCTAATGAATAGCTTGCACATAAACCATTTTTGTCTTGCACATCCACTTCAAAAGCTCATACAAGTTACTTTTACTTGTACAAGCATCGCTTTTCTCTTACACATAGTGCACGAACATTCAAAACTGTGATGTGATATGTGTTCAATAAATGGTGTATATGCAAAGGAAAGTGGTGTGTGTGCGAGGTAAAATTTAAAGGACCAAGCAGAGTCTCCACCCAGATCGACCTCAATCCGTGTATTATTCGTTTATTTGTTTTTCAAAATAAAATCAAAAATAAGAAATTTAAATAACTATTTTCTTCATTATTTGTCTCCAAAACCAAAATGAAAAAAAAAAAAAAAAAACGGATAACGGATAATGATTCCGGGACCAGTCCTGGTCTGGTTCCGGAATAAGCCCTGGTCTCAGTTCTGTTCTCAGTTCTGGCCTGGTCCTGGTCTCAATCCCGGTCTCAGTCCTGGTCTGGTCCCGGGCTCAGTCCTGGCTTCAGTCCTGGCCTCAGTCCCGGTCTGGTCCCTGTCTCAGTCCTGGCCGCGGTCTCGGTCTGTTAAGGGTCTCAGTCCTGGCCTCAGTCCCAGTCTGGTCCCAGTCTTAATCCTGGTCTCAGTCCCGGTCTCAGTCCTGGTCTCAGTTCTGATTTGGTCCTGGTCTGCCTTGGTCTGGTCCCGGTCTTAGTCCTAATCTCAGTCCTGGTCTGGTCCCGGTCTCAGTCCTAGTCTCAGTCCTGGTCTTAGTCCTGGTCTCAGTTCTGGTCTCAGTTCTGATCTGGTCCTGGTCTGTGTTGGTCTGGTCTCGGTCTCAGTCTGGGTCTCAGTCCCGGTCTCAGTCCCGTTCTGGTCCCAGTCTCAATCCTGGTCTCTGTCCTGGTCTCAGTCCTGGTCTCAGTTCTGATCTGGTCCTGGTCTCAGTCCTGGGCTCAGTCCCAGTCTGGGCCTGATCTCAGTCCCTGTCTGGTCCCGGTCTCAGTCCCGGTCTGGTCCTGGTCTCAGTCTTGATCACCTGGCAGTCTATGCGAGTGCACCTCCGGGTCCATCCTGACATTCAGTCCTGGTTTAGTCCTGGTTTAATTCTGTTTTAGTCCTTGTTCAGTCTGGCATCGCAGTTTAAGTCAAGGAAACAGGAAACAGCTGATATCAGTTTTTTCCATTATTAGTTTAAACACAAAATCGAAAACTGAAAAAACAAATCATTATCTGTTTTTTCATTTTGGTTTTGGAGACAAATAATGAAGAAAATAGTTGTTTTTTCGTTTTCTTATTTTTGGTTCTATTTTGAAAACCGAATGAACGAATGATATACGGATTGAGGTCGATCTGGACGGAGACTGCTCGGTCCACAAGCTTTTCATGTGCATGTGCAAAGAAAGGTACACGTAGCTTTTAGTATTTATGTGTGACCTATTCCTGATATACGGCTTAAGGAGTGGCCTCATAACAAGGAGGTAACAGAATCCCAACCAAAAAGTTACATAGTACACTTTTAACATAATTCTGTTTTTACTAAAAATAAAATAAAATAAAAATAATGATGACTTACATAGAGGTCATTCAAGTTTGGTTACGTTGTAAGCACAATATAAACAAGAGCCAAAACACGCAGTAGTTATGAAACACATTTATTCATTGTCTTCTGGTATGGAATGTTCAATTGCATTTTTATGTGTTGACTCTAGCTAGAGGTATTCTGTTTTAGGACTGTTCACCGCTTTGTGTTTTTTCTACTCTTCTTAAATTGAAACTAAACACTAATTAAACTTTTTTTTGCCACTTAATGGTGTATATGCATTGAATAGCATTGTCTTCTGTTCCTAGTCTTTTATTTATTTATTTATTTGTTGGCAAACTGCATACATTTCTGGTCAAAAACGTCTAAATCTAAGTTTGTGCTACCTTTAATGGCTGCTGCAATTTCAAGTAATATGTGACATCATGCAGGACTGCCTTAATTCCAGCCAGGTTAAAGTGTGGTTACCTGTTAAATCAATCACATTGTTCCTTTTACTCCCAGGCCCTGCCCCCTCCCCCTCTCACTCTTTCTTTAGTCCTCCCGGTACTGCCTAGTTTATCAGTTCTATTTGAAATGCGGTTGTGAGTGAAGTTTAGGCATTTTGTCTGACTTTAACTGATGTAAAAGTATGAGAAATATGCCCTGCCCATGATCCTCTGGGCCACACGTTTTCTCACGTCTCCACCAAACTAATCCAAGTGTTGCTCCACAGCAAACACCTACAGTCTGGTGGCTCCATCTGAATCCCATATGACACAATACTGCATCATTAAACCTGCCTGAGACACTCCTAGTTGGTTTTATTTGACATTCCCTCTGCCATATTCAGAGGTGGGAAGGGTAGCAAAAAATCCCTTGTAGACTTACTAGTGGGAAGAGTAGCCAAAGAGTACTGTTACTTCAATAAAAAATGTTGCTCAAGTAGGAATAAGAGTATGTTGCTAGAAAAAAAGTACTCTACAGTGGAGCACTTCCTGTACCTATAACATCACAAGGTGTTTTCTGTTGGAGAGAAGAACTCAACTTAAATATACGGAGTTTGTGCATTATACATGTGTGAATGAAACAAGAATAAACTTTTTTTTTTAAAGGTAATGCTAAGATGTGGAACATTCTGGGCAGAGCAATGACATCAGCATGGAGATGAGCAGGGAGCAAGGTGGACTGTATAAACTTTAGATTATATTATCTGTAGATTGAATCATTATTTGAAATAGAATAACATAAAAGAGAAGTACAGTATTCCACCCACCTCTACACACAAAGAGATAACTTATTAGGTAAAAACAGCTTAATTATTATTATTTTTTACCTCACTGCAATTGATTCAACTGATAACACAATAATTCAATTTCCTGAAACAGATTGTAAAAGTCTGTGTATTTTTTTCTTTTTAAATGCAAAATAATTAACCCTGTAAAACCAAAAGATTAGCATTTTCTCGAAAGGTAATGCTGTGTAGTCATTGTTCTCATCTCTCAGACAGGGACCTTGTGTTTGTGTGAAAACAGAGCCTGAGGGACCCATGTGAGCTGCTCCTATCCAGACTGTCCAATCAGCACTGCTCCTGCCCAAACCATCCAATCAGCACGGCTTCTTCAGCCCAGTTCACATCTTCATCAAAGTAAGTCAAACCTCTATGGCCCTGTCCCAAATCAGATTCCTTCAGAGATTTTTCTCCATAGTGAGCTCAGCTTTTTAGGATGAGGAGCAGGTGCCCACTAACCCACATATTGCAGGTACTAATGTCAAAAATATTAAATAAGCACAAAATCAGTATTTAGACTAGTACTGAAAAAAGATACTCTTTTAAGAAAGTATCGATACCAAAAATAATCACATAATTGGATAAAATTTCAAAAACATATTTCAGAACAGTTTCAGCTTGAGTTTTAGCAGAACTAGTGTAAGACCACATGGTAATAAAAAAAAATCCTATTATTTTGTGTTGAAAATTACAATATTGTCTAAAAAGAGCTTTTAAAATTATCATCGAAATTGGCATCAAACCTATATTTAGTATTAAAATCGAGTTTGGAATTTTAATATTGTTACAACAAACAACAACAAACTTTATATAAACACTGCTAACCCTGTAGTATAGATCTGTACAAACATGTTTCTTCAATACATAGTTTGTCAGTTAAATGTTGTCTTTTTGTCAGTTCTCCTGGACATGTTTAACTGCACTGTTTTTCTGGTCTGTCAAAAGCTTTTCCTCATGGAGATGTTATTGCTTTGTCTGGAATGCTTCACAGTATGATATTAAACCTTTCTATCTTCATGGAGACCAAGCCAGACCAAGTTACAGGTCAAATCTGTGGAGAGGCGATTCTGTTCACAGTCAGAATGCCTGTTTTTCTAGGTATTTTTGCACTATAAAATCACCTCTAATTGAATACATGTAAGACAGATTTGTTTACCATAATGTCATACTGTGGAACATTCCAGGTAGAGCATATCCATAAACACAAACAGGTGATCAACCCCCAACCAAAAAATCACATGGTGCAGGTTTAAAATGTGAACTTTGAACAGAAACCTATTATTAAAACATAAATTGCAATCCCAAATCGTTGAGCCATACTGGGTTCACCAGGACAGACGCACATAGAGCTGTCTTGTGTAGCTCTTTGCCAGTGGAAAAGCTGTCCTAAAGGATATGTCCCATATGACCTTGCACGTGCTTGATGTTTTGTGCCGCATGTGCATGATTTAATGAACCATGAAGCAGCAATTAAATCTTTATATAAATATTTTTTACTGCGTGAAGGAGAGCTCCCTGGAAACAAATAGGCCTACAGACTTGTGTATGTCTTTGATATGAAAGTCTTGAGTTGGTTTAAGTGCATATTCTCCGGCCCCTTCATTTGTGTCATAGTGGCCATTGAGTTAACCAGTCGATCTTTTAAGTGTTTTGAGATAGACTCTTAATGGGGGCACTAGGTTCCTCTGCCTAAATAGGGCTGTGGAATTATAGCGTATTATCATGTCCAGGATAAAAAAAAAGACAAACTCAATAGGAGTTAGTTTGTGGCTGCATAAAAAAAAGAAAAGAAATTAAAAAGGAGTCTAAAAACATTTTGATGTGACGCGACTGTAGAGGCTTGTCAGAGATGTTGGTCATCTAAAAAGTTGTTTTTGTTAGGTTGTTAACTTCAAATGGCTTTAACACCAAAATGTCCCCAGCCTCCACTACAGAGGACATGTTATAAAATTATAAATAAAAATAAAATGAACAAAATGTAAATACTAAGGTGTTTACCTCCAAATAGAAAGAAAATCACACAAAACATATTGCAATACACTTTTTCTTCGCGTCACAGGAGGATATGACAGCTTCTGATGATTCTAAAATTTTGACTTAATTTGGTGAGATAATACCTGTTGTAAATATGAATTGTAGTTTTACACCAAACAAGAACCCATTTGTGAAGAAAAGTTAAAAAACAGGTTGATAATGAGAGGAAGGAGGAAGGAGTTCTGTTTTAGAGCATGCCCTATTGTTGACACCATGCAAGGGAGAATTCTATCCAACAGTTAGGCTGTTACGTCCCCTTTGCTAGGGGAGAAAGGGAAGTAACAATAAAATCAGGATGTTAAAGGTTTAACTAAAAATTGTGCATTTATTATTTACAGTGTAAGGGAAGACCAAAAAAAAAAAAAAAAAAAAAAAAAAAAAAAAAAAAAAACAGGCAATTGAGGTGAAAAATAAATAGGAGTTAAACAAAATAATCTAATAAACTAAAGAGCCCTAACTAAATACAATGTACCAAATCTAACTCAAGTTTTTCTGCGAACAAAAAGGTGTCTCAAGGAACTAAACGAGGCAACAGCCGGCAATATAACAAAATGAGACAACCCAAACATCAAACAAAAGGGGCGAGTTGGCCGCAGTAATCCAGCCGCCTCGAGCAGACGGAAGATGGTCCCTTTTCAATCCCCGCTATCACAGGCGTCATCCGCGGACTGGTGGGAGCGCAGGGATGAAGGGCCAATCGCCGATGCGCTGCGACACCAGCCTCCGTCCCGCGTCGGGTGCTCCCGCGCATCCGGGTCCAGGGCTCGCGGACCGGGAGCATCATGCGCAGACAAAAGCAAATACAGAAGAACGGGAGTACTTTAAACAAAACTCACAGGGCCGAGGCCCCTAACATACTGTAGGCAAAAATTACACATAAATATATTTTAAACATTAAAGTGTTTTCTTACATTTTTATTTGTCAAATTTGGATTTCATTGTACATTAGAGGAGTTTTGGGCCAGTGTACAGCGTGGTTGCTAGGTAACAGTAATGGAATTTTTTGTAAAATCTAAAATTTTATGATCTTAAAAGTGCAGTATGTAACTTTTTTGGAAGAGGGTGCCTGCTTGACTCCATACTGATGTTATAGTTTTTTCCTGGAATGTTCTACAGTATGGCATTTAATTTAACTATCTTCATGGAGACAAGCAGACCACATCACAAGGTCAAGTTACAGGTCAGATCTGTGGAGAAGTGGACCCAGTCACAGTAATATTGCATGTCTTTACGAAATAAAAACACTCGTAATTTGAATAAATAGAATAATAAAAATATATTTGCGCATACTGTACATCCCAGGCAAAGCTATAATATCACCATGGAAACAAGCAGATGGCGGACCCTCTATTAGACACAGTGCACCTTTAACTGTGTATGTAAAATGAGTAGTCCCAACCGGTCATAGGCAGTTTAACCTGCTGGCTGTTGATGGTTGCCTTTTCAGGTGGTGGTGGTGGTTGGTCACATTTAGTGCAAACTCTGTGTCAAGTCTTGTGGAGGATTCAGGACCTCTAGCTGTCTCTAACATCATCTTCTAAAGTCCACTCAACCCCGGTAACATAAGTTTGTAACCAGTCCCCTCGGCCCCTGCACAGGCTCATATTTCCTGTGTCTCACGCTGTAACAGGAGGCAGCCCTGTGTTTTGTGCTTAGGTTTGTGTGTGCTGGATGACATATAAACATATACCTATTATTATTTGGTCATGTGGCAAATCATCTTCCGTATAAATTAACCTGTTGCAGAAGTACAAGCGTCTTCAAATGTATTTAGATTTGCCCAAACTATAACAATGTCCCCATGGCAGGGCATAGAGTAGGGAGGGTGGTTTAGAAAGAGTGAAATGTGGGTGTGTGAGTTTGTACTATCTGATTCTCTTGACAAATTCACTGTATTTATTGCTTTCTGTAAATAATCCTATTGCTTTTAGTGAAATCTGAACAGTTAAAAAGCTCTTCTGGGAACAGGTGTTGCGAATTAGCCTAGGCTAAGAACACTGTGACACCTGCACCATCACATAATTGTTAATCTATGTTTGTTGTATCAATAAATAACAGAGTGTAATTATCCCTATGTAGACTTGTATAAAGACTCTCAAGTAACGTATGGTACACCGTGCATTTGTACAAATATTGAAATTACAGCAGCTATCACTGTCATGTTAAACCTTTTTGCTGAACCTTTGATTTTGTGTAATATAACACAAACTGACTCTTGTGAGCTTTAAGCCATCAAAAACAACAGTATGTATTTGTTAAACCACTACCTGTGCAAAGTCAGTATGACATAAAGCAGCTGTAACCATTAAAACAATGAATATGTGACATGTAATTTAGTTATATAATTAAAATTCCCCCAAAATACTCACGATAACGAACTTGTATCCCCAAAATTTTGTATCACGATATACTGATATTTCAATATTTTGATATTTTTGCACAGCCGTACTAGTAAGATACATGTACTATATTCAATCAGCATCACCCTTACCCACACCTGCTACACAAGTCAAGTACTTTTTTGAAATTCTCAACTTTCAGAGTAAATCCATCAAGCTTCTAAAATGGCCCAAGAACTGACCAGAACTAAAAAAGAAAAGAAAGAGGCCCTTGACAACTTCACATTATTGTACATAACATAATGGTGATTTCTTTGCATGTTTCTTGTTACCAATATGTGATGAAAATGCCATGACACCTTAAAGAGGGGGTATTATGCTATTATGCTTTAGTTTTATTTTTTATTTTTTTTACCATGTTATGATCTTACTCTCTCATCAATAACATGCCTGAAGAGGTTTTAGATGTAATCCATGCATGTTGTAGTGCAGTCCCTTCTGGCTGGGCCCTATTCGAGCCCTCCTTACAGTTAGATGTTAGATAATGTCTCATGCTCACAAGCCTGCCTCATCCATGCTCCCACATAACAATCCTCCATAAATATACAAACAAACAACACTGTACACAGGATCTTGACAAATGTGTTATGATGTGCAGTAGCGTGTACATTTTCAAACCAATAAAATGTAACATGGTGATCTAAATAAGTTATGTGTTAGCAATTAATACCCCATAGAAGTAAAATACAAATAGCATTTGCAGTCGCTGTGTTGTTATTGTATTGGGCTGGGGTCTAACCAAGCAGAAGATCTGGCCAAGTCAATCACAAAAATATAAGAGATTATTAAATTACTGAAAAATAATAAAACTCCAGGACCTGATGGTTTAAGTGGAGAATTTTATAAAGCCATGTATAAAAGACTTCACTCCAATATTATGGGGTGTATTTGCTTTTAAAGAAAGGGACCCACCAAAAAGCTAGTCAGAGGCCATCATATCAGTGATATACAGGGAAGGGAAAAACCATAAACAATATGGATCTCACAGGCCCTTTAGTCTCCTAGGGAATGATGCCAAAATTCTTGTCTTAAATCTAACAAAGAGAATGCAGATGTATATAGGAAAATATATCAAACCAGATCAAACTGGTTTCATTGCAGGGCTGCCAAGAAATCTGTCCACCAGTGAATTCATCTCACGCGATACACTCAGACGGCATTTGACTGGATGGACTAAGTATGTTTAATTATATAAGCATATCAAAACAGCAACATTACCTTTGTTAATTGGATTAACACTCTTAGTATTACTAGATGGTGGTTTTAGCTGATAAAGGATTAAAGGACTAAGGATTAAAAATTTGTCAGTTTTCTCAAGAATAATCCTTAAATCGTTCTCCCTGATTTAATGTGAATTGAATATCTTTTCAAATACACTATTATCTTGAGAAGAACTTGACCACATAAAAGCTCAACTGTACTGGATAGAGGTGGTAGAAGACAAAAGATAAAACATAATACTGTAATTGGTGATTCAGATTGGGAAAACTCATGGGAGGAGTGGCATAAATCTCTTAGCAGTCCAAACTGGAAAGAGTTTAGTTGGAAACCAAGAATGAGATTTTGTCATTAATTTTAGCAAGCTACAATGAGAATGTCAGAAAATAAAATATATGTTCAAGGGCCCATATTGCGCTATTTTCTGATCTATGTTATAATGTTGCTTCCTCATCACAAACATATCTGGAGTTGTGTTTTGTTTCATTCAACAAGGGTAACACACAAACCCTGCATATTTAGACTGAGTTCTTCTCTCGAACTAATAACACTCCATTCCACCTTGTGATGTCATGTGGTAATATGGGAAGTGCTCCTCTGTGTTTTTAAACTCCATACACCTTCACTAGAATCTTTTGGATTTTGGATAATTTCAACCTTGGAATTGTCAGTCTCTACTGAGCAAAAGGTAAAAAGTTATGTTAACTTGAATACTACAGCTTGATGACATCATAAGGTGGGACAGAGCATTTTGAGCTTTAGAGATGTAGACAGACTAAATATGCAAGATTACTCAAACATATGTAAGGGAAACAAAACACAACTTCAGGTATGTTTTTGACGAGGTAACACCATTCTAACATGGCTTAAAATTCACAATTTTGTGTAATATAGAACCTTTAAGAGTTCTTGCTTTTTGCAGGTTTTAATAAAAGTTAAAAAAGAATGTGATAAGTACGTTTTTAATTTATAAAGTGCTTTTCACAGACATATATCACAAAGACACTTTACAGATTATTACCATTTACTTCCTACCCGGGGATGGTAAGATATTATTGTAGTCACAGCTGCCCTGGGTCAGACTGACAGAAGCATGGCTGCCATCACCCCTTCCGATCACCACCATCGCACACACGCACACATACATTTTCATTCTAGGTAATGTGGCTGTAGTGCCTTGCCTAAGGACACAATGACATTTTTGTGACTGGCGCACCACTGTGGCACCTGATTTTCCTAGTGATCTCCCTTCCAAGTACAGTCCCTGACAAAAGTCTTGTCGCTTATCCATTTTGTAGAAACAAAAGCTTATAACCTGACTTTAAATTAATCGATTGGTTTTAGAAATGTCTCATATGAAAGCTAAAACTCTCCCAAATTATGCTCAATATACTAAAATAAATTTGCTTCACTGAAGAAAGATTGATCATTTAATGAACCAGAAAGGTCAGATTTTGGCAAGACAAAAGTTTTGTCGCCTACAGAAAATTTAACAAATAATTTACTTCAAATACAAAAATATGTTGCATAACGTCAGTGAATTAAGTAGTGGTGCTGTGAGATCCATATTAATATCTTGTGTGACTTCCATGAGCTTGAAGGACTACATCCATGCAGTTTGACAATGATTCATACAATTTGTTGATGAAGTCATCAGGAATAGCAAAGAAAGCGTCTTACATGCCTCCCAGAGTTCATCAAGATTCTTTGGTTTTGCCTTCCATGCTTCCTCTTTCATTCTACCCCAGACATGCTCAATGATGTTCATGTCTGGTGACTGGGCTGGCCAGTCCTGGAGCACCTTGATCTTCTTCGCCTTGAGAAACTTTGATGTAGAGATAGAAGTATGCGATGGAGCACCATCCTGCTGCAAAATTTGACCCCTTTTATGGTTGGGAATGTAAGAGGAGCTAATACTTCTTGATATTTTAGGTTATTGATATTGCCTTCCACCCTGCAAATGTCTCGCACACCCCCATACTGGATGTAGCCCCAGACCAGATTTTTCCGCCACCAAACTTAACTGTTTTCTGGGTGAATCTTGGATCCATGCGGGCTCCAGTAGGTCTCCTGCAATATTTGCGGCGGCTGTGATGTAATTCAACCGAGGATTCATCTGAGAAATCCACCTTCTGCCACTTTTCCAGTGTCCATTCTTTTAGCAGGCTGTGGGCCTTGGCAAATGCCACACGGTTTTTAATTGACTTTTGTTTAGTGCTGGTTTCTGTGCACTGATTCGACCATGGAGGCCGTTTCGAGACAGAATTCTACAAACTGTTGTGGTTGACACAGGGACTTGAGGTGACCAGGCCTGGTGGAGTCTGCTGCAGTGGAAAAGGGGCTGGCCTTGGATTTTCAAATCAACAAACAGTCCTCCCGAGCAGTTGTCTTGCGGGGTCTGCCGGACCTGGGCTTGTCAAAAACATCTTCAGTCATTTCAGATCTTTTTCTTATTCTTTGTACTTGACACTGAGACACATTGAAGGTGTCAGCCACCTCAGCAGTGGATCTGGTCTTCAGCCTCTTGATAATTAACGCTTTGGTCTCAGGGTGGATCTTAGGCATGTTGTCAGAGGTCAAGTTGCAGTTGATGTGAAGGTCTGGTGTGCTGGGGTTCTTTTTATACACACCCACTAATTGATTGATCAGTAACTGATCACAGGTGAGGCTGTAATCTAGGATTGGGTGCATCATATGACAAGGCGACAAGACTTTTGTCTTGCCAAAATCTGACCTTTCTGTGTTCATTAAATGATCAATCTTTCTTCAGTGAAGCTAATTTATTTTAGTATATTGAGCATAATTTGGGAGGGTTTTAGCTTTCATATGAGACATTTCTAAAACCAATCGATTAATTTAAAGTCAGGTTATAAGCTTTTGTTTCTACAAAATGGATAAGCGTCAAGACTTTTGTTAGGGACTATAGTAACCAGACCTGGCCTTGCTTGGCTTTGAGATCTGACGAGATCAGGCTTTCACAAGCCGGTATGGCCACAAAGAGTCAAAGTCAAAAAACTCAATGGAATGGGTGCCCAGCAGTGTTTGAATGTGCATTTATAAAGTGTGAGGGAATTGCTGCTAGGCTAATGTGTCACAAAAACATGCTTAAATTAAATGCCCTCTCCAAAGACTAAGTGGGAAATAAGTGGTGTTGTGTTATACCCAAGCACCCATTGTATTATGTTATTTCAAGTGTTATATACGTACTGTACCACAGAGGCATATTTTCTGATGATGTGTTTTCATCATGGAATTAATCATTATGAAATGTTTAGCTTTATGAAATCTCAATGAAATGTGAAGCTAAATGTCTGTTTCTGCTCTGCACTGTCCATCTCTTAAATGCTGATTTGACTTGTCCTCCACAGGAGATCGTCACATGCACCCTTAATGATGAAGGCTTTGTTTGGACAGCTGACATCTTGGCTCATCTCCATCTGACTGCTCCAGGATCCTGTAAGTACTCTGTCTACAGTGGGGTTAGGTGTCACTTTAGTTCTTGAGTCACACACTCATTATGGGTGACCTTGTTCTTGTTTGCCCAGGCCATCAGACAGCTGGGACTCAGACATGCCTCGCTGCAGACTCAACCTGAGCACTATGATCTTCCTGGTCATCTTGCAGGGGGCAGCAGTGGTGTTGTTCTGTGGCTGGTATGTACAACTCAGCCCCTGTGGCCCCATCCCCTCCCATGGGAAGGTCCATGTGCTGCTGCTGTCGTCATGGCGATCTGGCTCCTCCTTCTTGGGACAGGTGTTCAGTCAGCACCCATCTGTGTTCTATCTGATGGAGCCAGGGTGGCACGTGTGGACCACGCTGCAGCGGCCCGGGGCAAAGGCCCTCAGGATGGCTGTCCGCGACCTGCTGCGCAGCACCTTCCACTGTGACTTCTCCACCATGGAGGCCTATCTGCCCCGACCACAGAACATGTCCAGCCTGTTCATGTGGAGCCACAGCCGGGCATTGTGCTCGCCCCCAGCCTGTCCTCTCACCCCGCGCACTCACTTCAGTAACCAGACAGTATGCAATCTCCAGTGTTCCAAGCAAAGTCTGGCTGGAGCAGAGCGCGCCTGCCACACGTACAGTCATGTGGTGCTGAAGGAGGTGCGCTTCTTTGAGCTGGAGTCCCTCTACCCTCTACTGCAGGACCCTGGGCTGGACCTACGCATTGTGCACCTGGTGCGGGACCCCCGAGCCGTCATGCGCTCCCGAGAGGAGTCGTCCAAGTCCTTCACCAGCGACAATGGCATAGTTCTAGAGCAGAGGAACGTGTCTGCAGCAGATGTCCAGTACCAGGTCATGCAGGAGATCTGCCACAGCCACATACGCATCAAGGAGACAGCGTTCCAAAAGCCCCCGCCCTTTTTAGAGGGCCGCTACAAGCTGGTGCGCTATGAGGACCTGGCTCGCAGCCCACTGGAGGAAATCAGTTCCATCTATGACTTTGTCGGTCTAGAGATGACTTCCACTTTGGCGGAGTGGATATACAAAGTGACACACGGCAAAGGCAAAGGTACAATAAAGGAGGCTTTTAAAATCACATCTCGAAATGCTGTGGACGTGTCTCAGGCGTGGCGCACCACTCTGCCTCACAGTAAAGTGCGGCGTGTGCAGGACGTGTGCCGCAGAGCCATGTCTACGCTGGGCTATCGGCCCGTCAACAGCGACAAAGAGCAGAAGAAACTGGACATTGACCTATTAGTGCCTCGTGAGCCCTACCGCTTTAGCTGGTTACCACCCAACACTGTGCCGCCAAAGATAAAACCTTAAAAAGGGATTTCTCCTCCTCTCTGCCAGGCTAGAACTGTACTGGACCAGACCTCACAAAAATCAAAATACTGATTATGTTATCTGTGTTTTTTGTGTGCTCAAAAGTGTAGCTTCTTACTGATTTGTGACTTTGGTGTATACATCCTCCATATGTAAGCTCCCAGGCTAGGTTTGTTTCTATGAAATCTTAATTTGTTTTTGATGTGTGTGTTCATTGTAGACTTGCAAAAGCTAAACCTAAAAGCAGCAGTTCACACATTTTTCTGTTAACTTAGATCATCAGCACACTTCACATTTACATTGGCTCTGTACTGCTACCAAGCTTCAGTAATAATGCATGTCCATGTACTGTCTGAAACTGGTTTGGAAATCGGTTTCTGTTTTTGTGTGTTTTGTTTTTGCTGTTGTTGTTGTTATTTTTGTTTTGTTTTGTTATTTTATTATTATTATTATTTTTTTTTTACAAATGAGTGGACCATTTTCTAAGGCAATAGTTGATGTATGGGCTAGGGTGTTAAGGTGGGGGGGCACATAACAGATATAGATGTATACATATTCAATGATGTTTAAATTGTGGCATCATAGTATATGAAGAAAGCATGCTGTGAAAAGTTAGTTCAAACTTTTAAAAATGAAATATTATCAAAGTTCTTGCTATCTTTTTCAGGAACACCATTCCTCAATAAGATCCTCTCCAGGTCCTTCATATTGTGGTCCATGCTGATAAACTCCCCCATTTAGTTTTCACGGAACTGGAATGGAGGAGGCACTAGCTTTTTATTTTGTGGCAAATTAAAGTAAAGAGTAGAGGACAAATCCTAGCTACACTTTCTCAAACCACACCATTTACAAACATGAAGTGTATTTTCTGCTTTACTAAAACTATCATGGATTTAGTCAACCACCTTAGCATGATGGTTTTTTTGTACATTCAATCAATCAGTATAATTGTATTTGCCCCCAAGGGGCAATTTAAGCACATTCAGCCTTAAAATACAATAATAATAGAAAAACTCACACAGAAGTCTGAGTGGAGATCAACAGGTAGGGTCATGAGATCCAATATCAGGGCAGTGTGGGGGGAGTAACAGCCCACAGGACAACAAAGTCCTTGTGTATCTTCTGTGTCCTGCAGCATCAAAGCAGTGGCCATGGGGAGCCAGGTGGACTCTGGGCACACAACAGGAAAGTCTCTTCCAAGCCTCACATAGAAACCACAGGTTAAAACTTAAACAAAAAAAATGAAATATTAAGAGTGAATGAAGAAATATTATTAAGAATTAATATGAACTGCACCGTTTGAACTAAAACTTTTACTAAAAATATTTTTTGTCAAAAGAATAAGACAAAAAACAAATGTACAATTTCTTGGCAAAATTAACACTGCTTCTGAGGAAACTTTCTGAGCCCAAACTCCAACGCTCTCAAAGATTCACTGCTGGAAATCTGCAAAGTCAAACCAGTCCAAGGTGCAAACTTGCAGCTGATGGTGCATACAAGTTTTTTTTTTTTTTTTTTTTTTAACAAACAAAATAATCATATTCATTCAAATCAGAATAATATTTTTGTAAATATTTGTAATGAAAACTTTCAGGGATAACACATTGGTAACTTTTTTCCCTATTTTCCAGGGGTACATTTTTGAGGGTACTTACGTTTTACACACATAACTGCCAATGCTCTCTCTAATTCCTTCTAAAATATGTGAATTATTGTATTTATATTTAAAAAATAATAAATGACCTGTAGACTTAAAATAACACTGTCTCAATTCATATTTTTCTCAAAATATAAAAATCTGAAATGGCTATTTTCAAAAGGCCCTGAGTAAGAGCCTGACGAGGGAACAGTGGCTGCTCATCTGCCCAGCTCGCTCAGAGTGGAGGTGCACTGGGGTTCAAGTGGGGCTAAACACTAGATTGACTTGACATTGTGTTTTATTCAGGACCTGTAGGGAAGCTTGTACAGTGTGTTTAACCTTATCCTTGAAGGTGCACTGTGTAACTTTCCTGTTGGAATAGCACCTGTTGGACCAAAAACTGCTTGTCTCCATAGAAATTTTATCATTTTGTCTAGCAGTGGGCTCCAACCTGTAGCTTGGGAGCTACCAGTAGCTCTCCACTCCCTAGCTCGCCAAAGGATTTCTGAATTATACATATTGTGCTGAATTACTCAAATTTAATGAACTATCGTATCATCGTGATGCCTAACTTTGTGAACTAATACTGGAAAAAGGTTTATGGGAAACAGAATTGAACTGTTCCCCATCTAAGGTTTTCCTATGCTCATTTTCTTGTGACAGCTAAAATTTGTAGCCCTTTAGCATTTTCTTTATGTAAAGGTAGCTCACCAGGAGAAAAGGGTTGGAGATTGCTGGTCTAGAATGTTCCACAGTATAGATTCAACTTGTCTCTCACAAGGGAGACAAGCAGGTCACAGCACTGCTCTACATTACTATTCAGATCAATAAAAATGATGCAATGAGCAATAAAAACACCCATAATAAACACATGCCAGATGTATATGTTAAATGCCATACCATGGAACATTCCAGGCAAAACATTAACATTTCCAAGGAGACAAGCAGGTAGCGCACCCTGCACCAGAAAGGTCGTGAAGTGTACCTTTAAATAATAGATCAGGGGTAACCTGTCAGTGCTTTGCTTTGTATTTGACATATACTAGAGTCTGTCTATAACTAAAGCTGCATGTGTTCACTTAGCCATAGGCCTGTCTGTTTCACTGCTGGAGCAGAACTCACCAGTTACAGCTGAAATAATTTCCGGGCTTCTGTCTACTTTATGGTCTCAATTATGTAAATCATCTGAAAAAACGAAATAGAAAAAGTAAACAAGATAAAATATAACAGACTGGTACGGCGTTCACTTGTTTGCAAACCAGGGCAGTGGGGACATCTAGTGGTGGGAGAGCTCTTTACATTTACGTTCCAACTTGATTTGAAGGCATGATATTGTATGATATGATATAATGATATTATGTATTGATAATGTAATAACGCTATTCAAATCACTCATGCTCCCACATGAGTGATTTGAGCTAAAATCTCACGAGTCAGTTTTGTGTAATATAGTATAGTTAAAGATCTATGGGGTATTAACTGCTAAAACATAACATCTTTAGATCACAATGTTACCTTTCATTATTTTGAAAATGTCACTCCCCCTTCAGAGTATTATCACAACACCATCAGCATGTGTCTACTACTGCACATCGTGTTAGGTTTGTGAAGTTGTTGTGTACAGATTTCTATCATACTTTTGTATATATATGTAGAATTGTCGTGTGAGAGCATAGATGACGTAGGTTTGTGGGTGGAGCCTTGCACAGAATCTTACACCTAACATTAAGGAGGGTGAATACTCATTAAAACTAATACATAATACTCCCTCTTTAAGTATGTTTCTCTGAACTTTGACACCAGTATGAGTTCCACAACAGAATCACAGTATTTTGTTACCAGAATTAAAACCTTTAAAGGGCCCTGTTAACTTGAAAACTACTACAAGGTGGAACAGAGCATTTTGAGCTCTGCAGATGTAGGCAGATAGATGTAGACACTATCACAGTCCCACTCTTGGCTCACATTAAGAGAGCTTCAAGCCAAAACCAGATACTAGCATACAAGATACAAGATACAAGCCGTGTGTGGAGGAGTTAGAGTGGCCATTTGAAGATTTCACACTATCAATCTGAGACACTGGATTCAAAAAACTTAAAACTGAAAAGAGTTAGTTTGTGCTATACAGTTGTTACAGATATTATATATATTCACTGACCTTAGCAAAGGGTCACAGTAACAGAACAGTATCAGATTTAGTATGCGCAGAAGTGCCTCTTGTCTAGGTTGGGAACTCACACAAAGCATAGATCCAATGAAAGTGTCTTGAAGTGAAGTCTGTGATGGAAAAAGTACACAATTTTGTTACTTAAGTAAAAGTACAGACACCAGAGCAAAAAATAAATAAATAAATAAACAAATAAATACATACATACATACATACATAAATAAATACATAAATAAAATAAAAGACAGAAAGAAAATACACAAGCAAAAGTAAAAGTATTAAAGTACCCATTTAAAAATGTACTTAAAGAGTAAAATGTAGAAGTATTTTGCACAGTTTGAGAAAGCTTCAAATGTAGTGATTTTGATACATATTTGTGCTGAATTTTGTCCAGGGGACTGACAAAAAGCTTAGAGCCAAAAAATTTGTTAAAGTGTGTATGGTTTTCATGCTTTTCTAATTATTACTTGGTTTGGATGGATAGTACCTGTGCTAAAAATACATCGTAGTGTACATAAGTTGAGTGGCAGTTTGTGTGGGGAAAAGTTAAAAGAAAAAAGAAAAATACAGAAAGTAGCGCTAAGTTGTAAAACAGAATCCCTTTACCTACTGTATGTCATCAAATCAGGTTTTAAGAAAATTTAGACTTAAATATTTAGACTTAAACATAAAGATGTTAACTATGTTTTGGTGAAATGAGTCTCACCCGTCTTTAAGAATGTTTGGCTTGAATTGAATTTACAAATAAGACCCCAGTTATAGGACCTGACAAATGAAGTAATACTTACATTAAACATTTCTATGACCTGTCTGTTTATTTATGATGAATTCATGATTCATTCATTTATTCTAGTTCTATAGGCCTAGAAGGTGATATGAACCTGCTGCTCAGATTGGTTTCCCTAATTAAGATGTACTTTTCAGAGTACAGCATGTCTTTACAACTGAGTCTATTATAGTATATTGTAGCTAAATCAAATGTTACAGACCGACAGTTACTCGTAAAGTTACTCTTACTTTAGAACTTTTCCCATTTTTTTTGTCTACTTGAGTCATTTCTTGGACAACTACTTAGGTTACTTCTACCTGGGTAATATTATTTTTGAAGTAACGTTACTCTTACATGAGTACAGTTTTTGGCTAGTCTATCACCTCTGCTCAAGCGTAGTTTGACGGGTTTTCTTCAGTACACTCTATGACATGCATTTGCATTACACATCTGCATTACACAGACAGGTTCCATAAATCATTCATCGATAAAAATTTCTGAGCATTTGTCAAAAGACTTCGAGGTGCACTTCAAAAAACACAACTTCACAGGTAGTCCTTTCGCACTAGCCAAATAATAGGTTCAGCCTAGGCCTATCAGGATGCGAAGTCTATCCACTGACTGTATATGAGCCTATCACGGTGACGACTCTCACGGTCTCTGTGCTACTGTTAGGGCTGTGCAGATAGAGCTGGCAGAGGGAGCTGGCGCTTTACGTAAATCTACACAGTTTTTTTTTTCTTACAGCTGAAGTTCTTGATCATTTTGGGACCTTGGTATTTTGAAAATATTCCGGAAGTTCTTGTGTGAAGCGTCTCGAGGACGCTGATGGTAAGGAGCGGCAGCTGCGACAGACGCACGGAGCCAGCGGGACACAGCAGCACCGGGGCTCGGCGCAGATGGAGTGAAACATGGGCCCTGCGCCATGGCTCGATCCGGCAGCACAGGCGCGGACGGCGAGAAGTCCCGCGCCCCCGCGGACCGCAGCGACCTCCAGGAACTGTCGCTGGAGGAGGTGCTGAAATCCTATGAGCAACCCATCAACGAGGAGCAGGCATGGGCCGTGTGTTTCCAGTGCTGCAGCGGGCTCCGACCGATCCGACCGCCCCACCCGCTCGGCCCGGTCATTCAACTGTCCTCCATCCTGCTGCACCGGGACGGCACCGTGACGCTTCGGCAGCACTCTCATCTCTGCGGTAGGTTACGCAGATTTAACCAAAAACTTTAGCACCAAATTGTGCGAGTCACTTTGTGTGAGCTGAGCAATACAAAAAAGTGTAATGTAAACTCAAATACATAAATAAAAAAGAAAATAAACAACACTGTTTCTGGTGCCGACCGAGCACTCAGTGGAGAGAGACTCAGTCCAGAACAGGGTTTGCTTTGCTCTATAGAAATGTATCGGCACCATTGTTTAGCCCAAAATAAAACGACCATTTAAAATGGAAAGGAAACTCACTATGGGCGAGCTTTTAGAGCAGGCATGTCCAAAGTATGGCCCATGGGCCAAATACAGCCCTCAGACAAATTTTTCTTGGCCCTCAGGCTTCCAGAAGAACCAAATAACCTTGCATCAATTAAAAATGAACTTTTTACTCCAGAGTTTTTTTGTGTGTGTTTTTTTTTTTTTTTATCTACCTTGACAAAGCTAATAATTGATATTTAGTGTGTGGTTTTAAGGATTGTAGCATGAATAAAGACTGATGGCTCATTCTAACGTGTTAAACATGCATATATTTCAATTATTCCCTGTACTGAGCTCCAGTCTACGGCCCTCGATCAGCCCTCTGCTTCATCTGTGTTTAGATATGTGGCCCTTGATGAAAAAGTTTGGACACCCCTGTTTAAGAGTTTCCCTCATGTTTACTGAATCTCATTAATAGGCCCATATCCTCACATAGTGTTCAGTTGTAGTCCACAGGTAAATTACACTAGGCCTAAGCAGTAACAAGCAACTCACAGTATAACTAACACATTCTATTCCATGTTTTCACAAAAAAATGGGTGTACACAGCTCTCTCCCTAGATTGAGTTAGCCATAGCCTGTGCGTGTGTGCGTGTGTGTGTGTGCGTGTGTCCGTGTGTGCTTGTGTGTGTGTGTGCATGACAAAATCTGCAGGGATTGCAGACCTAATAGACTAATAGTCTATTAAATAGACAACACTACACAATGTAGAGTGGCTGGTGGTTTGAAGCAGGTCAGGTGACTTATTTTGCTCACATCTATTGCCCTTTAGAGCAAACTACAATGGAAAGTCATGGGCAACTTCACTCTGCTCATCAGATTCTCCTAAACATAATGCCACAAATGAGTCTAAATGACAAAATGGATAAAAAAAACTGCCACCACAGCAAGACTAAAGATGACTCACCTGACTGCAGGTCCATATTCCGCTCTCCTGACGTCTTTTGGTTGTAGTCTGTGATCAGACTGGCTGTTTTTCACTCTAAGGTGGCCACACTTGTTGGATGTGGGAAGCCCATCCAGAGGAATGATTGTGAGGTTTCATGTTGTCGGCTGTTGTGGCCAATTGAAATGTTGAGTTGAGTTTAGTGCAAAAGCCTCTAAAAGTGACAGAGCTGTTGTTGTTGTCAGTGTTTCAAACCTCTGCTGCTGGAATATAACAATACCATTTAAGCTGAATGTGAGAAACTGGTGAGAGAGCCTTGTTTCCAATAGTGACACTAGTGGCAGCGCTACAGCCAAATAATTATTTTTTTTGCTTTTGTGGCTCTGTATTTGTGATAGATCTAGTAGTTGTTTTACAAACTCTAAACTTATATGTGCATCTACTCCAGTTGCACCATGCTTTCCTATGGACTGCTGTGCCAAGTCAAGCAAATCATCAGGCAAGACCAGACCTCCAGCTGTGAGAATGAAGTAGGCATTGTGCTTTTAGGATTACAGAAGAGCATCAGCCATGTTTTGGTAGACCGTTTCATATGCATAGCTGACAGATTTATTATGTTTTTTTGTTTTTTTTTGTGCTGTTTTGCCTCTCGGTGGTGCATGAGAGTAAGCTCCCCTCCTGGATATGGAGCTGCTGTGTTCTGTGGATGCAAGCTCAGTTACAGCCTTTGTGTGAACCAGTCAGACAGGTCTATGTTGCTCCTTAGCTCCTGGCCTATTGGGAGGCAATAGCAGTGTGTTGTTGTGGGCAGGCCTCTCTGGCTCTCTGGCTGACCTCTCTGTAGTTCCTGTGCTGATGGTGGAGGAGTGCTTCTCTGGGGAGCCCTCAGTGACATGTGAGCTCTGTCCTCAGCACTTTAGTCTGACTGCAGCAAAGCACTCAGAGCTCAAAGCAATGGCCCTGCTGAAAATGTGCTCTGTTTCAAAGACCCCTATGGACCAATCAACTGTGACACAGTTCAACTTAACAAAAGCTTTGTCCAAATTGGTAATTTAAAAAAACTTTGTTTTACTGAATACTTTATTTTATAGGTTAGACTTTTTAAGTATGAAAAATGCATCCCCTAAACTGGAATTAAACTAACAAATGATTATACTTCTTCTGCTGCTGTAATCACCCTGTCCCCCTGTCCTGTTGTGACAGTCTAAAGGCTGCTTTATAGTCCAACATTAGATCTAGTGTCGGGGAGCTCCCCAGCAATCAGCCAGTCAGAAAGCTTGTGGCTCTTGCTGTGCTGTGTACATACTGTGTATGTGCATCTTGGCCAAAAAGTTTGTAGTTGTTGAATTTCTGCCAAACGCAATGAGCTATGATTGCTTTGTACATAAACAAAAAACAAAAACAAAAAAAAAGAATATCTGGTTAAAACGGCTTCGAATAGCTACAGTTTGTTAAAGAAATGTCTGCATATGAGCCTAGAGTCACTGTTTATTGTCCTATTTACCAAATGAATCCAAATTAAATCATTAGATTCACGCGACTCATCTGGGTGTGCATAAGGACGTCAGCTCTCAGCTAATGCATGTGCAGGTGCATAGCACATAGTCCTAGGCACAAACCTTGGTGGGCTCCTAAATGTGTATATTATTATAGTAATATATATTTTAACATTCGCTATTATTACCTCCGCCAAGGAGGTTATGTTTTTGCCGGCGTTTGTCTGTTTGTTTGTTTGTTTGTTTGTTTGTCTGTTAGCAACATAACTCAAAATGTTATGGACCGATTTTTATTAAATTTTCAGGATTTGTTGGAAATGTGAAAAGGAAGAACTGATTTCATTTTGGGGGTGATCCGGAAGAAATCCTGGATTCTGGATCACTTTGAAATTTTTGTTAACATTGTGGTAAATGGGGCCAAAAATTTTGTTTCTCAATATCTCTGTTAATTAACAGACAAACACAAACAAACAGACAAACGCCGGCAAAAACATAACCTCCTTGGCGGAGGTAATTACAGATACAATATTAATTGCCAATGCAATTAAAAATATGAACAAATTAATTTTTTAAGAGTAGCACTGGATCATAAATTGTGCTGGAAGCCCATATCACAATAGTTTTTTGTTTTTGGCCCAGTGAAAATTATTTTTTGAGGTGGCGGTACTGAGCCATCTTTTAGTAATTTATCGGGGCCTTTGCTCGTCATTGGCAACACTTTACTGCAGATTTATAGTCTTGTTAAAAAACACACAAGAATAACAGAAACATTGTGAAACTAAAGTGGAATACGATAAAGACATTTGTTGATGATGGACAGATGTGATGTGATGAGACTCCGGATGAGGGCTCTATCTCAGGTGGTCAGCCAAGCTGATTCAGGACCCCCCCTTTTATATATGATGCCTTTAGGCTGAAGGATGAACATGGGACACCGGGTGGGAGCGAGGGGGTCGATAGGGCAGAGATGGACAGTGTTGTCGAGATAGGCGTCTATAAATAGAGCTTTGGGGTAACTGAAGGTGTGGTTGAGCCACACCACTTACAGCAAACAGCTGTTTTACAAGACTAGGGTTTAAAGTTCAAACTGGCATTGAATTTCACATTAGTTTAGCACTAAGGCGACATATGCATTAAATGGTGCGAGGTGGCCTGAAAAGTTTTAGTCCCTGATGACACAAACAGGTGACTGGCACTTCCCCATCTTGGCCTTTTCAACAGAATCCTCAAGCAGTCATTGTACGCCACATTGAGCTCTGTGGTTGCCATGGTCGTGCTTGGCTGCTCTTGCACATGACTGACATTCTATAAGGAATATGGCAGAAGACTTTCCAGAGGAAACTTTACTCTCTATCTAACCAAAACAACAGATCGAAGGAAGAGAAAGGCTTTCCCACTGTTTGTCCTGACTTCACCTGACTCACCCAGGAGGCTGCTGTAATGATGTAGGACACAGAAGACAGAGACACACAAGAGTGACACTTTTGTCCTGATGATTATTACGACCTCATACTGCCCTGACACTGGATCTGATGACCTTGAGCTGCATTGTAATGTGTCTCTTTCACTTCAGCTGTACAGGCACCAACCCTGACCAACAACCGGGATCATGCACCACTGTGTGTAGATGTCCCCATCATCTGACAGATCATTTGTAATAAAATGTCCTATAATAAAAAGTATTAGTACATGTTACATACAGTCAGACCAATACCACTCAATACAAACTGAGGAAACACATGTATCATCTTTACATGTATCATCTTTAGTTTTATGCTGCCTTTTACTGGCATTAGATTTTATATCAAAAGCCATATACACTTCATAGGCTCTCTCTCTCTCTCTCTCTCTCTCTCTCTCTCTCTCTCTCTCTCTCTCTCTCTCTCTCTCTCTCTCTCTCTCTCTCTCTCTCTCTCTCTCTCTCTCTCTCTCTCTCTCTCTCTCTCTCTCTCTCTCTCTCTCTCTCTCTCTCTCTCTCTCTCTCTCTCTCTCTCCCCCTCTCTCTCTCTCTCCCTCTCTCTCTCTCTTTCTCTCTCTCTTTACTGTTTTTCACTACATACCTCCATGTGTAACTAGTATCGTTTAGGTAATATCTTTGACTTCTGATTTTTCTGTTGTCTGCAGTGGACCATGAAGGAGCTGGAAGCTCACTGGCAGTTGAACGTCAGGTAAGCCTGCTCCTTCTCAGTTTATCTCTCACCCAGGCCCTGCCCTGACTACACTTTTTACTAAACAGTCCTGTCCAATCTGCTCCAAGCACTAAAACTTCAACACAAAAATACATTAAAATTATTTGTAGCTTAATCCACAATAGAGGTCTATGAAAAACAAACAGAAATACATGTTAATGTATATCATGATTATAAACCACTAGTAGCTGGAATATTATAATATGGCTCTTCACAAATTCTCCTTACCTTAGATTTTGACTGTCCCCCTCTTGTGTGTAAGCCATACCAACTTGTCAAAGCCTGATCTTGTCACATCTCAGAAGCTAATCCAGGCCAGGCCTAGTTAGTACTTGGAATGGAGACCGCTGGGAAACTGTTGTGTCCTTAGGCAAGACACTTTACCCACATTGCCTAGTATGAAAGTGGTGTGTGCATGAGTGGTGGTGTTGATGGTGGTGGCGGACGTGCAGATTGGCAGCCTTGTTTCTGTCAGTCTGCCCCAGGGCAGCTGTGGCTACAGTAGTAGCTTACCACCACTTAGTGTGGAGTGAATGAATAATGCTCTGTAAAGTGTCTTTGAGTGTTATTATTATTATTATTAAAGCCCTGAGGTTTAGATTTAGAGTTCAGAATGAAACCTTTGTGTATTTGTGTACACTAAACACGTGTTGTGTTCAGCTGGTGCAGACTCTGGGCGTGGCCATCTACAGAGCTCTGGACTGGGGGCTGGATGCCAGTGAGGAGCGGGAGCTGAGTCCTCAGCTAGAGCAGCTCATAGAAGGCATGGCTGGCGGGGAGGCGGACAGTGGTGGGGGCAGTGGCACTTCTGATGAGGGCTACAGTGGCCCAGAAGAGGAGGAGGAGCTGGAGGAGGAGCAGGAGCCTGGGGCACGACCGGTCTGCTCCCTCCGCCGGGTGATGGCGCTGTGTGCATGTCGTCTGGCTGAGCCTGGCCTGGCAGCAGAGCACTACCAGGCTGTGTGCAGAGCCCTGTTTGTGGAGACTCTGGAGCTGCAGACCTTCCTCCTGAAGATCCGAGATGCCAAAGAGGTCAAACTTAAAGAAGACGTTTTATACTTGTCTGCTCTATAGTTATAATTATAATAAATGACACCCATGGATTATTATCTTATAATTTGCATATCTTAAATTGTAATCCTGATCTAAAACAACTTAATCAATGAAAGAAGTGTGCTGACTTCTGCATTAAAAAACTGCAGTGCCCAATGGTAACTGACAGAGCCATGAATACCATCACAACAAAGAGCCGTGTAGCTGTCTGCACCTCGGCCGCAGTTTTTTTTTTTTTTATTGGCACCAAAAGACTGTGTGATGCTGCCAAATCCTACGAGCTGAGAGCAGTGGGCTTATTCAGGTGAAAATTAATACATGAGTTAATTGGCAATATGGTGTCTTGAAAATACCATAAGCGATTAAAGATTGCTTAAACATGCATGAATCACTCCAAATACAACTTTGAGAGGATAAATGAGAAGGGGAAACAGTTATAACATTTTACATTGTAGATCTGCTTTAACATAACATGCACTATACCTAAAGTGGAAATGAACACACTTCTCATTGTTACTGCCTAAAGTGCTTCTCATCCCATAGTACCACATATACCTGTATATATGATACTTGATGATGGGTTGTTTATATGCAGTCGTATATAATTGCTGTATGATGAGGTTATGATAGCTGTATGTCACTCACAGAGGCAGACTCCTGTTCTAACTCTTACATGAGTCTTGTGTGTAGATGTTGAAGAAGATGAATACAGAGGACAGTGTGGAGGACCGGTCCACTGCAGAGCTGGACACTCTGCAGCATCGAGACTGGGTGAGAATCAGACTTAGTCAAAAGTTTAGACACACTTTTTCATTTTTGGTTCTTCTTTATTTCTATGGTTATTTATATTTACATACAAAACAATGTATGGGCACATGTGGAATGCAGCAAAAAAAAAAAAAAAACTAAAATGCTGATTTAAAAGATTAAAGCATTTTAAAAACAACCACTCTTTGAATTGTACCCTGATTTGCACTTTTGGCATTTCTTGACCCTGACTATATAAATGAAAATAAGGTATATACAATGTAGCAAAATTGTTTACTATATAATTCAAAACATCTCACATCATATATTTGATGTCTTCTATATGTATATTAAATGTAAAAAGTAGTCAAAATTAAGAACTGAATGAGAAGAGTGTGTCTAAACTTTTAACTGGTAGTGTACATTTTTTGCATGTGAATTTTCCAAACATTTTACATAAATACAGTTTTGGTTCTTAAGAGAGCATACAACTTCAACCTCACAACGTCCCTTCTGCTCTGTGTATGTGTGCGTGTGTGCTCCGTCAGGCTCGTCTGTGGGTGCAGCTCATGAAGGAGTTGAGGCAGGGGGTGAAGCTGAAGCAGGTGCAGGAGACTGCGTTCCCTCCTCTTCCGTCGGAGTTCAGCCTGACACCCTTTGAGATGCTCATGCAGGACATCCGCACACGCAAGTTCCAACTGCGCAAAGTCATGGTGAGACCCGGGAAGCACTCAAATGAACTCATCTTAAGTCTTATTCATTTTTTAAGAGGAGATTGGGGTAAATAAACATTCTCTTTAAAGAGGGGGTATTATGTCAAAATAATAATGTCATAATTTGAAGAATTGTTGTGTGGGAGCATGGGTGACGAAGGTTTGTGGGCTGAGCATTGCACAGAAGCTTACAGTTAACCGTAAGAAGGGTTTGAATAGGATCCAAGAGATATCATGCATGGGTGACATCTGAAACCTCTTCAGACATGTTTTTGATGAGGGAACAACATTATTACGTGGTAGAATGCTCAAAAAAGTCTACTTTACATAATAACCCCTCTTTAAACGATTAGGCTTAGGTTTTCTTTTATTTCTCTCCTCATGGAGAAATTTAGCTCGGGCAGGTTTCATACTGCAATTACTACAAACCCTTTGGAGCACAGACAAATGGCTGGGCTCTTTATGAAGCTTAGGATCTGTAGTTTTGGCATCTGTCTGATTGTCATTATGCATGGTAACAAGCTCTGCAAGAAGAAAATTAGATTTAAAACCAAATTAAAATATTAAAGTAAAACAGAGTTGATCAACAATATGGTATCTTGAAAATAACTGATTAAAGATTGCTCAGACGTGTATAAATCTTTCTAAATAAAACTTTGGATGAGTAAATGGTGAGGGGAAATAATTATAATGACTCTGAAAATGGAAAATCTGAATTAAAAAAACAACAACTGGTTGTTTCTCTTTGATTTGTCTTTTTTTTTTTTTTTTTTTTAAAAGAACATACCATAACAAAGAACAGCTGAAATGTGTTGTGTATGTTTCCAGGTGGATGGGGACATTCCTACACGAGTCAAGAGGAATGCACATGAGCTGATCCTGGACTTCATCCGCTCCAGACCTCCTCTCAAACCGGTCAGTAAAGGTGGTGTATAGAGGAGTGCATGCTATTCTCCATCCCATTGTCATGGCACAGGCTGTGAGAAAGATTTCACAGACTCTCACAAACGCAGGGTTTGTGTGTTCAACATGTGTGAATGAAACAAAACATACCTCCACACCTTTTGATGAGGAAACAAATTTATAAAATAGATCAGAAAATGGCATAATATGGGCTCTTTAAAACAGTTCTTATTGGCAGTGTACTAGTAAATAACTTTACATTTACTAAAGAAACTGTTAAAGAAAGAGTACTTTTAATATGGGGGGTGCAGTCAAAAGGTTTCGGGAACCACTGCTGTAATTTAGTACAGTGATTCTCAGAGATGCAAACATCTTTTTTAATGCTGAGAAAGGAGTTGTTTACAGTGACACTAGGTAGGGCGATGTAAAAGAGCTTTAGATCCAAGAGCTGTGTACTCGGGCCAGTGTCAACACAACAGCTGTACTCTGGAGCGCAGAGACCATGTTTTGACACAAACAGACCATGCACTTTTCTGATTGGTTAATCTGCTCATCAGAAAGAGGGGAGTTCCAGGCTCACACGTCTATGTGAAGTATCATCAAAGTGTGTGGATTTGGCTGGCTAAGCAAATGGCTCAGTGCTGTGGCAGTGATGAGGTTAAGGATAAGGACTACTTAGATCGCCATTAAATAATTAGTTCTTTTCATGTGATCCATCCTTTAATGCTACCTATATTTATTTATTCTTTCATTCACTCTTTCATTACACAGTATTCATTTTAACGTTTATTACCAACTATTGTAAATGCCTCAGTGCAGATAGACACACTGATTGAGCTCTTGCAGGAGGAGTTGATGTGATGGGTTGGTGATGGGCTGACTGCTGTGTTCTGCTGACACCAGGTTTCGGAGCGCTCCCTGCCCCCTCCACCCCCACAGCCGCAGAGCCTCCATGAGCAGGTCCTGGCTCAGATCAAGCAGGAGCGGAAGCTGCGCCATGTCCCACCAGCCAGACGTGAGTGTTGGCCACAGTCCAGTGTACAAGTCTGTGTGATCATCTTTGTTATCCTTAAAATGAAAAATGTATGCGTGAGACCCCTGTCTGAAAGGAAGGGTGTCTTGCAGGCGCCCTGAGACTAGAGTCAACACAGACAAGCAGCATCTGTGCCATTATCTTGAAGATGAGAGGGCTCTCGGCCCTGACTGTTCTGGGAATCACTTTTTTATCTACACTTGATTTGCTGCGCACACGCACATGCACATGCACACACACTAGTTTACATGTCGTACATTACATTCTGACATTCATGATGTTTATGCCATTTCTCCAAACATGAAGATGGTTTAATTAGATTTGTAGTCAGTGTCTGACTTTGTGTCCTCTGTTCCTGGTGGGGCTCAGCGTTCGGCTCGCTGCCCTGCCTGGCGCAGCACTGCTCCTGTCAACTTAAATCCAGCTCCTGCATGGACCTATCGGTGTCCCGACCCCGCGTCCTTCTCAAGGCCCCCACGCTGGCTGAAATGGAAGAGATGAACAGTTCTGAGGTACCACCTCTGGGTCCTGATGAATAGACTTAATGTAATGTCATAATATGTGACTATGTTGAGGCAATCCACTCATGCATATTGTCTTTTTCACACCTGCTGTCTTGGTACCACAGTGGCTCAATGGTTAGAGCACCCACCAACCTGAAGGTTGGAAGATTGATTCCTACTCAGACCAAGTTCTGTCACTGTGTCCTTGGGAAATACACTTTACCTACATTACCTATTATGAATGTTTGTGGTATTTCTGCCAGTCATGTGGAGGGAATGAATAATGACTACAGTGTAATGCTTTGAGAGGCTTTGGCAAGTCTGTATAACGCTAATTGTAAAGCATCATGTATTATTTAGGGGCTGTGCTCTTTAAAAAAAAAAAAAAAAAAAACTCAATATGGATCTGCTTAGCTTCTGTCAGATATTCACAGAAATAAAAGCCCCAATGGAGCAAATGTAAAGCAGCAGCATTCACTAAGTTAGGGTAGACTAGCTTTGATAATGCTGTAGAATACCCTGAAACCTACCAACAGTAGTGAAGTGAGTTAAAAGATAAATATACCAAAACCATAACTGCCAGATGTTTCACAGGAAAATGAGCAAAAGCAAATGAAGCCTAAAATGAGCAGCACATTTTCATTTTTTAATGTCTTGTCTTTCCAACCTTTTTAACTTCAAATGATAAATCTGATGATTATAAATCTCTTTAAATTACTCTTACTGGAGTGGTAGTTTTACCAAAAACTCATCTCTGGTCTGTTCAGTCAAAATAAAATTTTAAACACTGAAAATGTATGCTTTAAAAATGAACCAACTGAAATGCAGAATAAAAACAATTCAAACAATAAAAAAAAAAAAAAAAAACATTAAAATTTCAATCAGATTGGTTCCCTGTAGCATTTCTTGCTTGTTACTTAGACTGACTCACTTAGGACCTGTAAAGCTAATATAAATTGTTGTTATTGGATTTGTTTTGCAGGAGGAGGAGTCTCCAGAGGGGGCGGAGCTATACAGGACCGACACCATTGGCCCTCTTAAACGAGACCGCTCTTTCTCCGAGCAGGATGTGGCTCTGCTCCGAGGGGACCGGGCAGGGCCACTGAGAGCCAGGACTCTGCCCACAGCGAGACCCCCGCCTCAGCACAGAGGTCAGTCTGAGTACTACCATGGATTACAGCCATGGAGCTCCACAGGTCCCACCCACTTCCAAGTCTGCTCTGGATCTGGAAGTAAAATTTCCATAAATTTTCCCATAATCTTTGGCTCTAGTCAAAGCTCATGATGCTAGTATTTACAGGGGCGAATTTGGAGCCAAGCTCAATATTAGGAGTAGTAATATATTTATAAACTAAATGGTGAAATAAAAGCACAGATACAGAGAGAGGGGCGACAAGTCAATTTGAAAAAGAGTCCGTGGAGCTGGAAGCTCTCCATGAACACTTCCTATTTGGAATGCAGTGGCTAGTGGGTTAGCTATATCCATTTTATATATACAGTACAGTGTATGACTAGTTCTGATACAGATCATTCTAAAGCTATTCAGGAAAGGTTAATTTCTGTCCTGTGAATGTGACTTTTATGTGTCAATACTTGTTTTGGTATCAATTTAGTATGTGATTTTCTATACTTTTGATAACCCTAATACAGCCACAGCACAGAAAGGTGTTTTCATGGAGATAGCGCATCTGCTGAGAGGGGCAGAGAGGGGCTTCTTTAACGCTCACTTGCAAAGCCCATTATTGATACTGTGCTGCAGAGTCTTATTTACCGGAGCTGTTTGTGCAAAGCTATGGAGTGATTTAGCAATGCAGTGCCATAGCTCCCACAAACTGTTAAAGTGGATATGAGGGTTGGATGATTCTCTCATTTTGAAATGTTTTTAGAAAATATGTTACACAAATACAGAAATTAGAGAGGTGTAAACATATTGATGACAATATAAAAAAAATATTCAGTGTGCCAGTCAGTCAGCCACAAGCGCACCAACAACAACCAAGGCAACCACAAAACCTACTCTGCTCCTAAAACATCACACATGCACAGTGTTGGGGAGTAACGGATTACATGTACCGCCGTTACGTAATCAGAGTACAAATTATGAGTAACTGTATTCCGTTACAGTTACTGTTTCAATGAGTGGTAATTGGATTACAGTTACGTTGCTGAAATAAGTGGATTACAAGGCGGTATTTTCCTGTTTTCACATTTTGTGCTACATCCCATTTATTTATTTTTTATTTCGGTAATTCCACTCATTGTTGGAAACCCACACAGAACGCGACAGTAAGAGCGATGTAAACGTCACGTTAAAGTTAGCGGTGTCAGTCACACAGTGGAAGCAGCAGTACATTGGTAAAAACGCATTTGTGTCTTGGAAATTCTTCTCCCGATGTGAGATATATATATAAAAAATATATATATATAAAATCGCCTACAACTTAAATGTGAAACAGGAGCTACTGGCACTGGTGAAAACAACCTGCATAGACTTATAATATCTGCACTACTGTCCTATAATGACCTGCGACATGAGTGGACGTGCACACAAACGCACACAAACACAAACACACACAAACACACACCTTCATCATCGTCATTAACCTGACAACCCGCAGACCACGTCTCCTTCCGTAGTTACTGCGCGGACACCACCGTCTCGTGCGCCGCGTGTGGAACGTGTTTTCTCGCGTAAACCGCGCTTCCTCCTGTGCGCCTCTAAACTAGAACTAACACCAGGACTAAAACCAGAACTAACCCAGGACTAAACCAGGACTAAAGCAGGACTGAATCAGGTTTAAACTAGGACAAAACCACGACTAAACCAGAACTAAAGACCTGGTCTAACCAGGTCTAAAATCAGGAGTAAACCAGGTCTAAAAATCAGGACTAAACCAGGACTAAACCAGGTCTAAACAACATGACACCTAACAGTAGGTTGACATAATTTAAGGTGATCTCATATAAAAAATAATTTCTCTATCAATAATATTTTTTTAATCTGGTGAAGGAAAGGCTGATCTTGTTATTGTCTTTTAACAGACAAAACCTCTTATGTTAAAATATCGTGGTCTTTGTTTCTCTACAGCAAACAGTTGCTTATTCATGGAGACTTGGGCTCAGACAATTTGAAGACAACAAACAAGAATTTTCAGGATGTGGTTGCTACATTCATGTCGTTTAAAAAAAACATGACAATATCAAGTAATCCAAAGTAATCAGATTACGTTACTCACTTTAAGTAATTTAATGGATTACATTACAAACTACATTTTGGGGTATGTAATCTGTAATCTGTAGGGGATTACATTTTAAAAGTAACCTTCCCAACACTGCACATGCACACACTACAATCACAGCACAGAACAATACAGGCTATATAGTATAACATCTTGTCTGTATTTCTCTATTGCATCAGTCCATATAAAAATTAGGGATGCACTGTTACAATACTGTTATCGGTACCAATATTAAAATTTTTGATGGACTAGGTATCCAGGATATCTGTTCAGTCTCATTTTTTGTCTATGAACTGGTACATTAGATTTACTGAACATAATAGTTTTCAAAGCTGTTCTGTAGTTACTTTAAATGATAAATAACAGTTACAAAGATATCTGGATCATTTTTTTTACCATATGCCGATTGTGTTTAAAGGAAATAAATTATATTTTAAGTCTCTGCACTGGTATCGTTAATATCAGGTATCGGCAGACACTTAAAGCCGACATTGGTATCGGAAAAGAAAAAGCTGGATCAGAAGATCTCTAATAAAAATGTCTAGATACTCTTATTTGTGTGATTTGATATTACTTCTGTGTCTGTTCAGCCTCATTCCCGGGCCAAGCCTGGGCCCCTCCACCGACCCCTCCACCGGCCCCACGGTCCCTTAGCGCGCTGCATGAGAGCCCTGATTCAGATGTGCACCTCTGGATGGTAAGACGTACAGGTCCGATGCTTGTGTTTGTGGAAGGTTTGATACTGACCTGTGCTGTGTGTGTAGGAAGAGTTCAGTCATCCTGTAGAGAGTCTGGCCCTGACCGTGGATGAGGTCATCAATGTGCGCCGTGTGCTGGTCAAGGCAGAGATGGAAAAATACCTTCAGAGCAAGGAGCTGTACAATAACCTGAAGAGAGGCAAAGTAATCCCCCCAAACAAAATTAACAAAACACCATTCATTATTAACAAAAATAATGTTAATTTATAAATTCAGCCTACTAAAATATTTTGGCATAATTTTCAATAAAGTTATATGATTGCTGACTAAACTACATTAAAATAAGAGCAGAAGCATAATCATAAGGACTAAAGTTGCCTAAGCTATGATTTCAAGATATTTTATATGTTCTTGATGCAGGTGTGCTGCTGCTGTAGAGTGCGTTTCCCTCTCCTATCATGGCCCTCGTCCTGCCTATTCTGCAAGAGGTACCACACTGTGTCCTCCTACACAACTAACTAACAGTCTATGACATCACAGCACTGTAAACTGCGTAGTGAGAAAGGATTCAAAGGTTTTCATCTGGACAATGTTTTTGAAATCATTTTCAGCTTCCATCCAGAAGTCACAGTCATGCCCATAGTTTAGATCAGTGTTTCTTAAACTGTGGTACATGTACCATTGGGGGTACACATACTGCCTCTGATGTTACAAGGGAGTCTTTGCAGTTTGAGTATTTGGTTTAGAAATTAATCTATTAATGTTTTTGCCCTTCTTTGGGTAAATCAATATTTAGGATTCCCTTATCCATGGTTTAATTTTAGACCTGGTTTTAGGATTTTAGCCCTCATTTTGGCTTGATATAGTTCTAGTTTAGGTAGTACTTGGAAAAACCAAATATTATCTTAAGTGGTACTTAGTCTGAAAAGATTTTGCAATTTCCAAATGACAATGACAATGGGATTTCCTGTTTAAATAAAGGTCAAATATATAAAAAAAAATAGACCCAAACAACTGTGGTGATGTCACAATTGATCTGTCCATCTCTGTGGAGAAAAGCAGGTGATAAACTCTCCACCTAAACTGTTTTAAAATCTGCATCTTATAGGTGCAGTATATAATATACGGCAGGGATTGGCTGTCCTGTGAATTCATATGAGTATATGGGCACAATGTTAGTCGAGTATGTGCTAAATGTGCCCTCTGTGCCTACAGGTCTGTATGCAGTGCCTGCAGTGCCAAGGTAAGTCATGTGTTTTTATGTGTTTATCACACATCACGCTGTCAGACATACAAAACCCGAACTTGTAACTGATGAGATGCATCTCACTATCTCTGCCTGGCTGGACTTTTCAATACAGTAAATAGATGAGCATTTCTATAAAACTCTATAAAAAGCAAGATTTATATCAGTCTCATCAGTTTTACATCATGCAGTTTCATATGGTTATTCAGAATTTGTTTCTCCTTGTGCTTTGACTTGTACAGATGAAGATTCCTTCCAAAAAGATGGCTCACATTCCAGTATATGCTGTGGGCTTTCATGTGGCTCCCAAAGACCCAGTACACAAAAGCCAAGTCTTCAAGTAAGTCTTTAGCAGTCTGCACAAACACTGCACTGTTCCTCTGGTGCTCCAGAATTTTTGCACCTCTGCTCAGATTCCCTGCTATCACAGTGAGCATATAAGCGGCCATGATGGAAGTCCTTGTCAGAACTAGCAGTGCAAATAGATCTTTCTTGTTTTTTTTTTGGTTTTTTTTAAGTGAGCTCTATACCCTCCGGCTGGAGGGGAGTGGCTCAAATAGGCTGTCCAGTCTGAGATTTTTTTGGCACAGGACACTATGCAAGGAGCTTGTTCCAAATACTCTCCCAGTGGCACTTGGCTCTGCTTCAGAGGAGCCGACTCCAGAGTTTTACAGACTGGCCTTTTGAAGAAACATCCTTGGAAATGACACCCACAGATCCACCTGTTTACAGACTGCCCTTTGTCTGTTAGCAGATGGAAGAGTAATGTATGTGCTCTGCTCCTCTCAGGTGTTTGCATGGTTTGTGTGGGCGTGCAGTGGAGGAGGAGTTCCCTCACCTGTATGCCCACGGCTGCAGCCTGCGTGACGTCTGCTCCGACTGCTCCAAGTTTGTGGCTGACGTGGTCTCCTCCAGCCGCCGGAGCTTGGACATTCTCAACACGCCCAAGAGAGACCTGAAAACTGCTGCTCCTCCTGCCAAAAGGCCTCCACCAGCTGTACCCTAGACCTCCAAACTGAGGCCCACTAGATCCCCCCCCCCACCAACCCCTCATCTACAATCCTCCACCTGATATCCTCCAAGAACCCATCACGTGTTGTTCCTAGATCCCATTACCTGTTATCCACTAGATCCCCCCCACTAGCCTCACCTACAACACTCCACCAGCTGTGCCCAGGGCCCTTCTAACTGAGCTCCACAAGATCCGTCCCTCTGGTGTACATTAGATTCCTCCACCTGATATCCCCAAGAACCCTTCACACGATCCTTCCACCAGCCTCACCTACAACGCCCCACTAGCTGTACCCTAGACCCTCCTAACTGAGGTCCACTAGATTCCTCCACCTGCTGTCCCTATAAACCTTCACGAGGTGTCCTTTAGACCCTCCCGCCACCAAGTTTACCTACACTTGCTAAACCCTTGAACTTTCATTTGTGCCCTACCCTTCCTTTAGACCATTCACTGTCCACCCCTCACAATCCATCCTACACATGACGAAGAGCGTGGGACAATCTTGTGGCTGGCAGTCTTCCCAGTCACCCCCTCCCTTTGACCACTCCCCCTCGGACAGGCTCCTACACGGGTGAAGTTCGACACGTGCGGTTATCCAAAGAACCTATACCATTTCACCACATCGACAAAATGAACTGAGAACTTATATTTTAGCACTTTTAGTTTAAGCACTTAGGCAACTCCCTCCGACAAAGAACCCCCTAGCATCGTCCGTCACATTTATCACAGTCATGATTTTAACGGAGCAAAGTTGCGTAGCACAGATCAACATGTAATGCTAGCGTGCAAGCTATCTGCAGTTGCCTTGATTTGCCATGAATGTAACTTAGAGAATCACAATTGTAAATCGAAGAGCTTGAGTAATAAATGATTTTTAATTAATGAAGGTTTTTTTAATTGTAGTTATTTTCTCATTTTTAGTGGTGCTGCTTTTCTAATTGCATCCTGAAGATAGGTTCAAGTTGTCTATAAATTAAAGGGCACATATTTGGCTTGTTTACGTTATAATGCCGTTTCCTCATCACAAACACATCTGGAGCTCAGTTTTGTTTCATTCACACATTTAACACACAAACGCTGCATATTCAGGCTGATTCTTGTCTGAAACAGAAAACACTCTGAAAACACCTTGTGGTATCGTGATAGTACAAGAAGTGCTCCACTGTGTTTTCAAACTCCATATACCTCTACAATCATTTGGATCATTTCAGCCCAAACTAATTGTAAAGGGCTACTCCAACATGTGTGAATGAAATGAAATACAACAACATGTAATGTTTTAGTGAAATCTCATGTAGTTAAATCAACTATGCCTGTATGATTTACTGAGATGTGTCTAGTCTAACTTATGATAGGCCCTGTGTCTCCTCTTTCCTTGCAACCATGTCTCCTCTTTCCCAAACAAGCAGACGGGTGACATAGCAAATAGTCTGTAATCGTCAAGATAGGATCCATAGCAAAAGAAAATAAAATTCAGCGCCATAAACGTTACATAAGACAGACACAGAAGAGAAGGGTTTTACAATGAATCACATGGTTACACAAAAGAGGTGGGTTTCAAGGTGAAGAAAAAAATTATACAGTGAGTCTGTGATCTTACACAGTATATATATTGTTGTTATACGCTGGGAGGAAACTTCACAACATTTGTAATACACACACACACACACAGAAGGGTTTAATTGTTATTCATCTGAGTGTTATACACAGTTAGATTAGCATTTTGAGATTAGATTTTGAGATTAGATTTGATAGATTTAGTGCAGTGGTCTGGGGCCCCCAGGCTACTATGCAGTTACACAAATTGTCCAATAGAGGACACTCAAAACCACCAATAAACTTGGACAAGTCGGGCAGGAAAGGATAAACATGAATTTGTCCCACAACGGGGAAATTACAGTGTTTCAAAGTTCAAGAGCAGGAGAATAGGAACATGCAACTTGCAATATACAAGGCATAATATTTAACGCAACCTTGTATCAGCAGAATAAAGCTATGAGGCTACAAAACATATGGACAGTAAGTATAGCCTAATGGTTATCTACAGTGCAGCATATGGGCAGATGAAATAAATACATAGCAAGTGATATGAGAGAACCAGTAGTGTACCAGTATGATTCACATAACGTTACAATAATGTTACCTGGGCTCGCGGGTAAAATGAGCTTTTTAAGGTTTCAACAGGACCATGATAAGATATAGGCTAAATAATGCTTTGTTTTGTGTGCTATTCCCATTATGTCCTTTTATTTGCAGCACTCCTCTGGCCCCGAAGTAAATGACCAGCCAAATATTTAAAAGTGACCACTGAACCAAATACTCCATCCATGGCTTACAACTCACGTCTGCTCCACTGATGGAATGTGTGGTTGTGGTTCAAAACACTCAGTGAAAAGTTCTAAACATTATTTACCAAAAATGAGAGTTATTTACATTTTTTAAATTTAGACTAAGCCAAATAAAACTATAAAAGTATCATATGAACAAAAGACTATTACTGTTTTTCCTGGACTGCTCCACAGTATGGCTTTAAATTTATAAACTATTATACTTTTATTCAACCACAAATATGTGCTCAAAAAGATCTATGATAAACATGCATTTTCGCCTCTCTGCAGATCAAAGCTGTTTATCCCATAAGATAGAAGTTTGTCATAGTGTAGATTGTACCTATGTACCACTGTCCCAAGTGAAGAAAGTGAAGTATGGCCAGCCTCCCACAAAAAACAAACAAACAAACAAACAAACAAACAAAAAACACACACTTTGGGAGTGATGGTTGCCCCTGCAGTAGCATTAAAGAATGGATGAAATGTAACAGGAACATTTCCAAACAGGAACAATAACCTCTTGAATCCTGAAATCTCTTGTGAGCTTTGAGCCATGTTAGAATGTTGCTAACTCATCAAAAACATACCTGGAGATGTTTTTTCCCCCCATTCACACATGTTTGAGTAATCCTTTATTATTAGTCTGTTTCCATCTCCAAAGCTCTCCAAAAGCTCAAAATACTCTGTCCCACCTTGTGACGTTATCAAGCAGTAGTTATTACATGACATCACAAGGTGAAACAGCATTTGTCTATTTGAGAGAAGAACTCAGCCTAAATATGCAGGGTATGTGTGTTAAACCCGTGTGAATGAAACAAAACACAACTCCGGTTATGTCTGTGATGAGGAAACACGATAAAAACATAGAGCACAAACAGCATAGTATGGACCCTTTAACAAAAAATAGGAACAAGCATTTAATGTCAGCCTGTAAACCAACTGTTTCTATTTGAGAAGGCCCAGAAGAGGAGTGCTGAGTGCCAGAGTTGGTCTGGTCTCTATTTGAGCAGACAGAGGAGTTTAAGAGCCTCATCAGAGCCCTGGTGTGAGCTTCTGACCAAACTGTAGAAGGTCAGTCGCACATCTGTTTAAATGTAGGCCACTCCAAATGAGACGCACACACACGCACACGCACGCACACACACGCACACACAAGCACACGCACGCACACACACGCACACACACGCACGCACGTATGGACACACACACACGGCCATGTAGACCACAACATTTTGTTAGAGCTCGGGACTGTGCCATCACACATCATGAATCTGCAAGGGGACTGCTCTTGTGATTTTGGGCTTTACAAAAATAAAATTAAATCGAAATAAGTTGAAACTACATTGTGCATAGTCAGAGTGGCGCTGTACGTTAGTTTATTGTGAAAGGTCATGACGGAAGTGCAGTGTGTGCTGATGGCGGCACTAGACTTGGTGTTACTGTACTCTAGAGTTTCAAAGCTCTCTAACGGACTTAGGGCTAACTGCCTGCTCCTCTGTGTGGGCCTGTCCCGCGCCGTCCCACGGTCCGTGGGTGTGTCCCGTCGCCGCTGCCCCGAAACAAACAGAGCAAAGGAACAAAACACGCTCCAAAGTGAAAAGTTCGTGATGAGTTGGGAGTAGACGCGGCCTGCCTCGGGGATGGCAGTGTGGACCAGAGCGGAAAAACACGGCCAGCTAGACCTGCTCCTCCGCGACCGCTGGATCCGAGTGGCCGCAGAACTCACCCGAGAAACTTTGACGTTAACAGCCGAGGCGGAGGCCAATGACCCCTGGGACTACAACAACGCGTCTCCGGGACCGAGGAACGGCTTGTCAAACGGAAATGAGCCAGGGGGCAGTCCAGGAAACTCTGGCCAAAGCCCTAACTACGGCGGGCGAGGGGTCAGCCGGGGTCCCAACAGCCCAGGGAAGTACCACAGTAACGGCACCAACTCAGACTTCAGTCCTGGTTCGGGATACGGCAGCCCCGGCTCCAGCCTAGGCTCGGACGGCTGCTCGGAGGCTGTTCGCAGGGTGAGAGTGGTAAAACAGGAGTCTGGGGGGCTCGGCATCAGCATCAAGGGCGGTCGCGAGAACCGCATGCCCATCCTCATCTCCAAGATCTTCCCGGGGCTGGCGGCGGACCAAAGCAGGGCTCTGCGCGTCGGCGACGCTATTCTGTCCGTCAATGGCAACGACCTCCGCGAGGCTACGCACGACCTGGCGGTACAGGCGCTCAAGAAAGCTGGGAAAGAGGTGACGCTCGAAGGTAAGTCCGTCCACGCGAGAGCGGGGATTTGCATAGGCCTGATCTCAGTCCCTGTGATCTGCTGTAACAGCATAGTTGGGACAGTGGACTCCTAGAATCCACAGACAAGTGACAGGTACGCTTCGGGTCCCAGCAGCGGCTCTTTAGTAACTCATAATCTGCTGCTGCTGCTGCAGTTCATGGGACAGCTCACCTCTCTCCCTGCGTCACTACGTCCACTTTTCTACAGTCTGTGGCTAAAAAAAACATTTAGCCTACTTAACACTTGCTCTGAGTAGGGTGTGAATTTCCCTTTGCAACCTGAGGTCTAAACAGAGAAATATTACAAATCATATGCCCACTGTAATTGCATTATTCATTTGCATCTTTTGGTCATTGTGTAGGCTGTCAATCTATGAAACAGACAACACTTTATTATCGACTATACCTGAGTGCTAGTCTGTCAGAAGTGTTTTAGTCAATAGGCTGGCTTTGTCATGATGCACTTTAGTATTATGAATTATCATGTATTTGTTTAACAGGGACAAGCAAGGTAATCCTACATAAGAAAAGCTCCTTTACCAAATTTGACCACAGAGTCAGATCTGTCTCCATCCTCTATTTTATTTTCATCACTCATCTGGACTCAGTTGACAGCAAAATCAACAAAAACATAATTCTCAGATCTCTAGATAGACATGTGGTCTTCTGGCAGAATAGTTTGAGTATGAAGATTTTGAGATGAGGGAGTGATAAAAGGGGTGGACAGAGAGGGGCCTGGAAACATGTTGTGCAGTGGTCCAGTTGCACAGCGTCTGTCTAATGGTGTAGAACTGCTCACACCTCTCCGAAAAACAATGCAACGTGTCGGAAAATCACTAAAAACGTTCACTTGAGCCCCAGGCCATGTCCCAGGCCATGTTCCAGCACAGCCCACCATCACACAGGCATGCACTGATCTCTGGAATCACGTTGGGAAGTTAATGGGTTAGAAGTCAATGTGTTTATTGAATATTCAACAATCAAAGCAGTGGAATTAAAGGTGCACTGTATAACTTTTCTGCAGAAGGGTCATGGAAAGGTTATTGTTTAAAATTTTCTAAAATGTCTAAAATGTTCCACAGTATGTTACTCAATGTGCCATATGATGTGTGTGTGTGCGCTGGACGGAGTGTGATGTTCTGGAGTGAATGAATGGATTGATGCTTTTGGATGATGGAGGATGATTTCATAACATAATTTTGATGACATAAATATCAAATCTATCCACACTCACAATGCTTGCCTGAAAAATTGCAATTAGATATTTTTACCAATTATTATACAGCTCCGGTTTAACACCATACTGTGAATAATAATAATAATAATAATAATAATAATAAAAAAGTATAACTTAATTAGTGGATGGTTTATTTATTAGTAATGATTCAGTCTTAACTCTAACTGTAAGACCGAAATTATTAAATTGATAAACTATTTCTAAACTATTTGTTCATTATGAATTAAGTCATATTAGTTAAAATAAACTTTTCTGAACTTTTAACTGTAGTTCCCTTCCCTTTACCCTCTCGAAGTTGTATTTGGCGTGATTCGTGCATGCTTTAGAAATCTTAAAGAGCTTATTTTCAAGACGGCATATTGCCGATCAACCTCTGTTTTCACCACCACCAGCATACGCCCACAGCTCTGGTTCTTCTTAATTTGTTATATTTGTAGGATTCCGTAATGTTCTCTAGTCATTTTAGTACAAAAGAAAAATAAAAAATAAAAATCACTCCCCCGATCTTCAGCTTTCCATCGGAGGTGTCCAGAACTGCAGGGCTCTTTGTTGTGACAACCTTTACAGCTCCCATTGGGCAATGCAGTTTGCTAATGTGGAAGCCAGCGGACTTGTATTAAGTAATTTTAGATGAATATTGCAGTTTAAATTATGCAAATTATATAGCCTAATGATCCATGAATGTCATAGATTATAACTACATCAGAGACACAAGCACAATATGTCTTCTTTAAGACTTATTAAGGTTCAGTTATTATAAAGTTTAACCTTTTTATCTAATAGGTTCTAAATAGATCTAAAGCAAAAATCCAGGGAGGAAGGCCCTTCAGAGAGTTCTGGAGCTGGAGAAGGGAACATGGAGGAGCAGCCAAAACCACAGGGGCCATATTTGGGGTAAAACAGGACCAGAGCAGGGGCTTAGTTATTATTTTAGCTACAACTTATTGAGCCTTTTCTACTGTTCTCCTCTGCTTTAATAAGTCAGACTCAGCAATTCACAGGGAATTGTGTGCTCTCAGACGAAGCAGGTAACTCACCTCACCGCTTAAAGACAATGAAAAGGTGCACTGAAGGTTGTGCATTGAATCAAATTTCAATTGTGATTACTATTATTTTGGGTGGAATAAAAGGTTACTCATTATCTGTTTTCATGTGGGATCAAAATAGAGTAGTGTTGAAGGATGTATGTCATTTTCAACATTAAATCATATTACTGTCTTTTATTTCCATGTTGTCTTCTATCTGTGTAACCCCACAGTTGTCCAGGTAAACTCCATAGTAGTCCATGGATGTATACCAATCTATTACCGGTGTACTAGTTCATGATCAATCTACAGCTATTCAGGAAAGGTTCATTTTTGTCCTGTGATTGGGACTTTTTCATTTCGAGACTTCCTCAAATGAGTATCTAGTTTTGGTTGCAGTTTTAGTATCAACTAGTGTCTGATTTGTGATACTTTTGACAACCCTATTGGGCAATGGATGAAATTTTCATTGTGATTGCAATTACTAATTTACAAAAATTGAGGAATACTAGAAAGGGTCTCTTTAATCTATTTTCATGCAGGACAGTAATATTAAATGACAGCAGTTGTAAATAGGCATGCCATGATAACAGATTTTGAAGTGCTGAAGTCAGTATAAACGATAAACGATAATATTGAAACCAAACCCTAAGGCAGAATTAACCCCAAGTACTTTAAATGTACAATATGAGCTGCCGTAAATAAATAGCAGAATCTAGCACTTAGGTACTACAAAGAAGAATTTTCCATGATCCCCGAAAATGATTGTTCCATCTGTCATGTAGTATTGAAAAAGTCGACAGGCTCTGTTGTAAAGCTGACTGTGTGTGTGTTTGTGTGTCCAGTGAAGTACATCCGCGAGGTGTCTCCACTCTTCAAGAAGCCCTCCCTGGTGGCAGAGCTCCCCTGGGCCGGCTGCACTGAGGAGCCCCCCCCACACAGCTCCAGGGATCGCGACACAAAAGTCATTAGCCTCAAAATGTGTTTCATCAGCAGGAACCTGACCATGCCCGATCTGGAGAACCGGTGAGTCCACACTTTAATCTGGTATACACCACTGGGGCTGTAGGCCACTGAAGTAATTAGTTAAGAGTTTTTTTAGTCTGCTAAAAAGGGGAGGGGCCAAAAACTCTGAAAATTATTATGTAACTCTGTATCTGGTCCAAACAGCACTCACAAGACTACACCTGCATGGCAGTTCATGCAAGAACAACTAAGAAATCTATACAGTACCAGGAAACAATGTATTTATAGAAAGAGATTAAACTTGTGAATCCTGAGTTTTATCACAACAATATAACAGATCAGAAAATATAACAGATCAGAAAATGGTGTAATATAGGCCCTTTCATACTGAAATATGCATTTGTTATAATAATTAAAAGTAAAATTGAGTTGAAACCAGTAATTAATCAATACAGTTTTCTTATCCAAAGCACAGAAAGTACCCAAAACATATTGCGTATGATTCTGATGATTCTCAAATTTTTACTTTTGGTGGAATAATACCTGTTGTATACATTAAAGTTTAAAAAGCAGTATATGAAAAGAAGTTGAAAATTTACAAGAAGTAGAGTTTTATTTTAGAACTTCATCACATTAGGGAGAATTCGTGTCCAAACTTTTGGCACAATTTACACAACAAAATAAGATGTTTTATTATATTTTTCCCTAGTGTGATGTCAACTGGGAAGTACAATTTGAAACCTAAAGATTACCAAATTGGAGGAGAAAAGTAATTTTTTTTGTAAACTCTGTGTTTTTGTAAAAGGGGTAGTCCAACCAGTCATAGACACTTTATGAATGAATCATAGACTAAGAATGATGACTGAAGAGTTCATGTGATTCTGGGGTGACAGTCTGAACGTATGTTTTAGACTGCTGGAGCTACACTCTCCTGATGGACAGCACATGGTGGTTTTGCGCTGTAAAGATGCCTCCAGTGCTAACTCCTGGTTCACTGCCATCCACACTAACACTGCCGCCCTGCTGCCACTTGCCCTCTCCCACATCAACGCTTACCTGGGTGCTACGTCGGCTACGGCACACCCCCACCTCAAGCACATCGGCTGGCTGTCTGAGCAGGTAACTAGCACTGCTCCTGAGATGGTAGTTAAATTGGAGAACAAAGTAAGTACAGAGCAGTGGGCTTGTACCAGTAGTGGTGAAAAGGAGGGTAGATTGGAGCAATGATGTCTTAAATAAAAAAGAATAAATATTACTCAAAAATGCATGAATGATTCCAATAGGTCCACTGTGCTGTTGTGTGTGTGCTAGTGTTGATGACTGCTGTGTGCAGGTGCAGCTGGGCAGTGGCCGGCAGCAGCTCCGCCCCCTCGTCATGGCAATGACTGAGAAGGACCTGTTGCTATTCCAGTCCGTGCCCTGGACCAGAGAGGCCTGGGCCATGCCTCTGCTCACACATCCTCTGCTGGCCACCAGGTAACACTACTGTCTTCTCCTGTAGCCATTCTCTATGCAGTGTATGTGTTGCAGGTTGGTACACTGTGTGTGCTGTGTTTCAGGTTGGTACACTCTGGCAGCACACGAGGCTCTCCGTCCCACGGCTCCGAGCTGCTGTTTGCCACTCGCACAGGCACAGCACGTGGTGTGGAGGCGCATGTCTTCAGGGTGGAGACCCACTGGGACTTGTCATCATGGACACGAGCTCTGGTGCAGGGTGTGCATGCTGCAGCCGAGCTCATCAAAGAGGTGTCCATAGGTTAGTGAGCACACTTAAGACCAGTTTGGAGATTTGGCCAGAGGAGCCACAATCTTTACACAAGTATGAGAGGGAATCATGCAAAATCAACTTTCTGGAGCTTTCTGCCATGTTCTAATGATGTTCTTAAAACCATGAAGATATATATGCCATCTATAAAAGTGATCGCTCCTGTATGAACACTCCTTACGATTAGCACTACAATACACAGTACAATGCTCAGCCCACAAAACCATGTAATCCATGCTTAAGAACGACAATTTTCCAAAACAATACAAAAAGACTTGACAAGTTTTCGGCAAATATTATATTTGCCGAAAACTTGCTATATTATAAAGCATTTTCTAAATAATAAATGGTAACATGGCGATCTAAATAGGCATTAACAATGAAAATCCAATACAAGTGTAATACTCCTATTCTGCTCCAATACTGTGTATTTTGTCTGTTTGTTGTGTCAGGCTGCACCTTAAACAGGCAGGACGTGCGTCTCACCCTGCACTATGAAAATGGATTCACTGTGACACGAGAGCCAGATGAGGCAGCAGGGGGCGCTGTGCTCTACAGGTATCCCTATGAAAAACTCAAGATGTCTGCTGACGATGGAGTGCGGAACTTGTACCTGGATTTTGGAGGTCCTGAAGGAGAAATGGTGAGGATTTCTGTTAAGTGCATGTACTGAGGACCACTTTCAGATGACCTCACAAGATCCTATATCTGCAGTGTTTATATGAGGAAAGGTTACAAAAATTAAAAGCCAAAGTTTAGTGCTTTCTAGGCAAAAAATAGACAAAAGTAAGTCTTTATTTTTATAGTGCTTTTTACAGACATATGCCACAAAGACTCTTTACAGAGCATTTTTCATTAACTCCATACCTGGTGATGGTAAGCTACTATTGTGGCCACAGCTGCCTTAGGGCAGACTGACAGAAGCTTGGCTGCCATGCCAATCAGTGCCATCAGTCCTTCCGACCACCACCATCACTCACCAGTTTCATACTAGGCAATGTGGGTGAAGTGCCTTCCCTAAGGACACAACAACTGGCGCACCACTGTGGCACCTGATTTTCCCAGTGTTCTCCCATCCAAGTACTAACCAGACCCGGCCTTACATAGCTTCTGAGATCTGACGGGATCAGGCTTTGACAAGCCGAAAAGGCCACATAAAAATAAATACATTTTTTTTTGCATTGAAGCACACATCTTTACTGTGAGATGACTCCATAAGCCTGAATCATATTTGGGTGGATATGCGCCTCTTCTTACTTGTTTTTGTGGAAATGTTAATGGTAGTGTCTTCCACAGTATGCCATAGAATGTATCTATCTCTACAGAGAAGATTCCTAAGTATGGTATTAACTTTCTATTTTCATGGAATCGTGTAGGTGATGTGTCTTCTCCAGAAAGTTTAACCATATCATGACATTATGCTCCTTATTTTGTATTTAATGATAAAGAAATATGCCATACAGATAATTATTTTCCATTTTGTTCATTGTAAAACATACTGATTGAAACTGACCACTGCAATATGTTTTAGTGACTTCCTGTTAAAAAAGCAGAACAGTTCCTCTGTTGCTAGCCCCACCTCTTCATCATGACATTTCACATGTCATGGTTAAACTTTCTGGAGAAGACATGTTACCTGCATTTTCACTAGGTGTTAGTGTTCAGTTACCATGATGATAATAAAAAAAACATTGTTTCTTTAGACAATAGAATGTGATTTTCATTACCATGTGGTCTTATACCTGTGTAATCCCTCAGTCGTCCATACTAGTCCATCGGCATATACTACTCTATGTGGTCTTATACTTGTTCTGATACAGCTCAAGATTATTCTAAAGCTATTCAGGATAGGCTTCTGTCCTGTGAATGACTTTTTTTTTAGTATTGATACCTACTTAAATGAGTATCTATTTTTGATACTATTTTTGGTATTGATTAGTAAGTGATTTTTGATACTTTTGACAACCCTACTAGGTATTACTACTGTTTTTCCTCAGCTGGACATGTGGTCATGTACTTCACTTTGTCCCCTACAGGTGCTGGACCTCCACTCTGGCCCCAAGCCTGTGGTGTTTGTGCTGCACTCCTTCTTGTCGGCTAAGCTCAGTCGCATGGGCCTGCTCACCTGACCTGACCTCCAGGTGGGCCTGCTCTCAGGGTTCATCGCGGCTCTGACTAGGGACGTCTGCCACAGCTTTCCTTGTGTCCTTGTACAGCTCACACTAGCCTGAGGTAGTGCTGCCGAACCAAGACAACCCACACATGCTGAAAAGAAAGGTGCCTGAGACTTTTCCTTGAGCTTTTGTAACTTGCACATCAGGGAAACCTATGGGGAACACCAATCTAGAGACATTGCCTTTGACCCATTCCATGTAATACACAAAGCAAAGGAATGTCGCTCATTTGAGACTGTTGTATATGTGGACGGAGCTGTAGGTGTTGATGAGCTGCTAATAGTGACCCTTTGATCCCATGGAGTTTTTAAGTGATGATGTCGCTTCTGGGTCCAATCAGAAACTTCACAGCTGATTTCTAGCTTTGTTTTTAGCTTTCTAGCTTTCATCAAACCAGAGGCGGTTATCTTTGAAAAGTGTCTGTTTAACCACAATCTGTATCAATTATGTAAATAATGTAGTAATAATCTTGCCTTACATTATATAGATTTAGCAGTATTTATATATCACCCACTGCCAGTCCAGCTTAGCCTAGTTTCTTACCTCAACCTTGAACACTTCCTGTCACACTTAAAATCATGTAAGTGTTAAAATGACTGCAATCCCTTTTTAATGTGAGATATGTTGTCACAATCAAAAAAGAGTAAATTGTAAACGTCAATCATTTTCAATCAACAGATGTGCCTTGGACCCGGAAGTGACATCACACTTAGCAAACCTACAGTAGACTGACCCAAGGTTCCCATATTAGCTTGGTGGCCAGTGATCAATAGCTTTATAGTGGAATGTGCGTCTACTAATTCTAATGTTTATGGAGCTCACATTTGCCTACAGCCGCCCTCCAGTGACCTATGCTGTTACTCTGTCAGAGCCTTGCACTGTGTATGCTTGTAGAGTCTAAGCACAGTCAGGATGCCAATAGTGCCTTGAGACATTTAGTCAGACAATCTTGACATGATTCCTTATCTTGTCACAACTGTAGAACCCAAGCTTTTATTTTGTACAAGCAATAGTATTAATCCTTTAACGTGTAATAATCTAAATTAGTTTTTAGTATGTTTTTATCTCGTCTTTATATATGTGCGTAAGCAGTATCCAGCATGTGCTGACTCATCATAAATGCTTAAATGATATGATAAGACTCCATGACCACTGCATTTAACTCTTGGCAACTTTCAGCTTTGCTGAGAAGATTATTTCTGTTACATTCCTCAGACATATTAAAGGGAGCAAGTGACAACATCATACAAAAGGTCGTAAAGACTGTATTTGAATCGATATGTTACTATTCCATTTAAATTTTAAAGGGCCTAAATTATGCAGAATTGATTCCTGTGAGCTTTAAGCCATGTTATAATGTTACCTCCTCAAAAACACACATGGAGCTGCGTTTTAATTCATTCACTGCATGTTTGAGTGACTTAATTATTCTGTCTACACCTCTAAGGCTTAAAATGCTTTCTTCCACCTTGTGATGTCATGAAGCAGTAGTTTCAATTTAACAGCTACCTTTTTAGCTTTTGTTTAGTAGAGACTGGAAATTCTAAAGCTGAAATTATCCAAATGATTCTACTGAAGGTGTATGGAGTTTAAAAACACAGTTTAGCACTTTCTGAGTGTTTGTGGAAATTGACTAAACATGTGTGAATAAAACAAAAGACAACGCCAGGTATGTTTTTGAAACAACATTGCGACATACATCAGAAAATAGCATAATATATGCCTGTTAAGTGGAAGTCTGTTTTGCCTGGGCCCACTGAAAAGAGCTGTTTATTTTAACTTATTCACAGATTCAGTCTCATATGTAGTTTTAGACTTTTGTTTTTATTCTATAATGTGATGACATGCTCCTGCTGGGCTTCTCTGACTGCTCTTATTGACTGTCCATGATGCACTAACCTGTGAATGTGCGCTGTACACATTTGAAAAAGGTCTTTTTCTATTAAAAAAAGCCTCTATGCAAAGCAGCGACCAAAGTGAGATCCTGGTGGCAGCTCGTGCGTGACACAATCTTTCAAATACATAGCATATTTGCTGCTGTAGTATTATGCAAGTATTTTAGATCTTTCTACCTTGACAAGTATGCAATGTTTATTAATAAAAATGTTATAATAACCTCATGTAAATATCAATAAAACCACTTATGTCACCTGTGCCAAGTTTGCTGTCATGTTATTAAGACAATGTTTTAGTCATGATTTGTTCATGGAGCTATTTAAAGTTTGAAAGTTTTTGATTGATTTTTTGAGCGTTAGCCTTTTAGTATCTTATTATGACAGCGTGGACCGGATGTTGTGACTGTGCGGACCGGATGTTGTGTTTATGTCCCGTTATGTCCCGTTATGTACGTGCTAGCGTGAGCTACTGAGCAACAGAAGCTATCTGTAATCTGACATGTCCACAGCGTTAAGGAGCAGCCACGGGAGCCGTTTGCGTTTTTAACCTGCACAACAAAAACGTGTGTGCTGTGTGGAGCTGTGTGAGATGAAATGACAACGTCAACATTACAGGTGACATTTGATCACGGTTAGCAGCATGCTAACAGAAAGCTAATAGCAGGCCATGTATGTGTATGGCAGCAGGCTCAAGCAAACGAGCTATAGCTAACTACAAACGGCGCAGTGTGTCCATTGATGTCATGTTAGAACAATGATGGTTTTATATGTTCACTATTATGTGTAACACTACGACCCAGCACAGTGAACTCGTGGAAACAGATGGGTTAAGGAGCAGCGCAGAAAATAACGGGTCTGTTCAGTGTCACAGAGATGGGCTGTGCCCCTGTGCCTGGACAGTTTAATTTAACACCAGAATGCTATAAGTACGTATGTGTGGTATTTCTTCATACATAACTGAGATCCTGTCCTGTCACTGGGGCAGAGTCTTTTCCCTCGACGTTGGCATTTCCACAGCATTATCAGCTTTATGGGCTAATACTGTATAATATACTATACTAGTGATAATAGTATGTAAATACTGAGCCTGAGTGTTGTACTGTGCCTTTATTAATCACAGAAAGCAATTGATCTCGTAACCAAAGCGACTGAGGAGGACAAAGCAAAGAACTATGAGGAGGCCCTGCGTTTGTACCAGCACTCTGTGGAGTACTTCCTACATGCCATCAAATGTGAGTGCCATCTTATCCACATGTTTTTAGTCGTAATTATTGCATTTTCCTGAAATTGAATTTTCAAATAAACAAGTGACTAAACATCTTGTTCTTTAGATGAGGCCCACAGTGACAAGGCAAAAGAAAGCATCCGGGCCAAGTGTATGCAGTACCTGGACCGAGCTGAAAAACTCAAAGACTACCTGAAGAACAAAGATAAACAAGGCAAGAAACCAGTGAAGGAAGCGCAGAGCAATGACAAGTAAGTCTGAGTGTAAATTATTATTGCCCTCTGTATACTTGTGATATAATAACGTGTGCTTTCTTTATTGTGTCCCTGTTTGCGCGCTGTCCTAACTGATGAATAAAGACATTTGAATTGATTTAATTTGATTTTTGTGTTGTAGGAGCGACAGTGACAGTGAAGGAGAAAACCCAGAGAAGAAAAAGCTCCAGGAGCAGTTAATGGGTAAGTCGAGAGGAGGTCTGATGTAAATTTGAAGGCCTTTGACAGATGACTGGAAATGTTGCATCTGTACCTGGCAACATAGAGCTCATCGGAGAACCATTTCTCCACATTAGCATATTATCACAAGATCTTAGGTTTTATATTGCACACCAATAATAGAACGCCTGTATATTCTCATATGCTAAATATTGAAATGAATTGTTTATGCTAATTATCGCAGCATTTCATCATAATTGAATTTTAAGTTGATTTGATCACTATTGTTACTTACTAGAAGTTAGAAATACTGTTGTTTACTGCTTGGAGCTGCAAGCTAATGCTGCCCTCTACTGTCCTGTTAGTATGCTTCACACCTGTGGTTCCAGATTTGTGTCAGGTCAATGCAACACTGCAGCCACTTTATTTTGCAGTTTAAAGTAAAGTTCATGGCATTTTCCATTTGTGGTTATTGTTGGGCTGATTATTTAATACAAATTTACAAAAATGTTTTAATTGTTTCATTTGGTCTCCATTGAGTCTATTAAATTTAATTTAGATTAAGTTAAAAAATCTGTGCGTGATGTGTGTGTGTGTTAGGTGCTATTGTCATGGAGAAGCCCAATGTGCGGTGGAGTGATGTGGCCGGGCTGGAGGGAGCTAAAGAAGCTTTGAAGGAGGCTGTTATCCTGCCCATTAAATTCCCACATCTGTTCACAGGTACTGTACCTGTGGCCTGGTTTCATTTTATAGCCTGTACACTCCCATATTATTATTTCATATTATTTGGTGAAATGCCTTAAGGGAAGCGGACTCCATGGAGGGGCATCCTACTCTTTGGACCCCCAGGGACAGGAAAGTCCTACCTTGCCAAGGCAGTGGCCACTGAAGCCAACAACTCCACCTTCTTCTCAGTGTCCTCTTCAGATCTGATGTCTAAGTGGCTGGGAGAGAGTGAAAAGTAGGTTTGCTTCCTAACACCTGTATGCTTCCCCTCCCCTGAACTTGTCCAGGCAGAACCACATGCTTTGACAAAACTTTACAAAACGGCGCCTGGAACTATATTTTGTCTCCTCAAATTCAATTTGGCTTGACTGACAGGTGGATTAACCAATGGGAGAGACGCATGGTCAATTTGGGGTTAGATTCAAAATCGAAGTACTATTGTTATTTACCTTCCGCACTACAGAGACAAGTGCTACAAATGAGCAGCTGTGATTAGAGCACCCCTCTACTCCTGGCACCTCGGCCTCCTCTTTGCCCTCCTCTGCTCCTGTCAATTTCCTCCCTGTGTTTTAGACTGGTGAAGAATCTGTTTGACTTGGCACGGCAGCACAAGCCTTCCATCATCTTCATTGACGAGGTGGACTCACTGTGCGGCTCCAGAAACGAGAACGAGAGTGAGGCGGCGCGACGCATCAAGACTGAGTTTCTGGTGCAAATGCAGGGTAAGCTTTGAGCACCTCCACTCTGAAGCTTATGTCTGTCAATATAACACATTTTGAAACGCAATATATTGACACTTTGCAGCTGATGTCATCAACATTCCCCGGGGGGGGGAAGCTAATCAGAGGCACTGCTCTATTTGAAGCTCTGTTACTCAAGTTAGACTTGACTAGCCAACAGGTGCTTTTTTATCACAGTCTCCTGAAAATTTATCAGTGATTGCTTCTGTGTACATTGTGTCACCATGGTAACTGTTGGAGATTCAGCCATAGGCATGCATGTAGATCCCTGCAGCATGATGTCACTGCAAAGTATCAATAATGTATCAATAATTGTGACCTGAACAAGCCCAAGTGCTCAGGTGTGTACTGTGCTGCAGAGACTAAGCTAAGCTCTTGCAGGTGTGGGCAACAATAATGATGGCATCCTGGTGCTGGGAGCCACCAACATCCCCTGGGTCCTGGACGCAGCCATACGCAGAAGGTGACCACTCTGTTTGCACTCATGAAAAGTGTGACTGAAGTGTACAAAGTAAAGAAACATATCCAGATCTATAAAACCTTTGACAGAAGACCATAGAAGCCAGAGTGATTCAAAGTGATATCTGAATGATAAACCAGTTTAACTATAACAGGTTAAGTGTTAACTGTCTCACACACAGCACTGTTAAAAGTGAAACTAAACTTTCTTCACTTATAAACTGTGTATAAGGTGTTTTAAAAGCACTGTCCTCTGTTCTAAGTCATTTTTGGGGGAAATTTTTGTGTAAACTGATACATTTGCGTCATTATGTTCAAAATCAATCAAAAACTGCCTCCATTGGCCACTGGAGTTTCAAGTACTTTGTGTAGGTAGTATGTGACGGTACACAGAAAGGCCCTACACAACTGCCTACAGGGGGTGGGGTCTGAAGCGTGGATACCTGTTTAACCATTCACACTGTTGTTATACCTTCAGACCCCGCACCTCCTCCCTCACTCTCTTCTTTAATCCTCCAGGTATGGCCCAGTTTATCAGCTGTATTTGATACTTGGTACTTGATACGTGTGTGGAGTTGAGGTGTTTAGTCTGTCATTTTCTGTATTCCAGTGACTTTAGTGTAAGGCAGGCACCATATTTAATCTGTAGACTTGTTGTGACTGATGTACCATGTGGCGGTAGATTTGAGAAAAGGATCTACATCCCGCTGCCAGAGGAGCCGGCACGAGCACACATGTTCCGGCTGCACCTGGGGAACACGCCTCATAGCCTGAGTGATGCAGATCTGAGGCAGCTCGCCCACAAGACCGATGGCTACTCAGGGGCTGACATCAGCATCATCGTACGGGATGCTCTCATGCAGCCTGTGCGCAAAGTGCAGTCTGCCACACACTTCAAGAAGGTGAGCTGTGTCTATGGATGAAGCATAAAGAATAAGCATTTTTTCATTTATCTTTATTTATACAGGAAGAGCCCAATGAGATTACCAGACTCACTGAGTGAACATTTTGTATTGTGACAAGACTTACCACAAATCACTCTTTCAAACTCGCTATCAGTACTAAGGAATTACCTCAATACTCAATACCACAATGATGATTAATAACAATTCAGGAAAGGTTCATTTCTGTCCTGTAAATGTGACTTTTAGTATTGAAACTAGATTGATGCTCTATTTTTTTTACTAGATGGTATGGTAGTATGGTTTAGTATGATTTTTCTATACTTTTGACAGCTTTATTACAAACTGTTTCTGTGTTGTAGGTGTGTGGTCCTTCCCGAAGTAACAACCAGGTCATGGTGGATGACCTCTTGACCCCTTGCTCCCCTGGTGACCCTGCTGCCATAGAGATGACCTGGATGGATGTGCCTAGTGATAAGCTTCTGGAGCCTATAGTGTGCATGGTAAAATGTTTGTTTTAAATGCTACTTTTTTTTTTTTTTTTTAAACAAATCAATATTAGAATTTGATTTGAACATGTTTACCTTGAATCTGGGGACACGAATAGGTCAAGTTTATGAAAATGAACATCAGAATATTAAATTTTCATTTATTTACGATATGTTCAGCCCATATTCAAACTGAATTTCAAAGTCTGATATTGAATAGCTGTATTTTTGCTCTGCTTTCAGTCGGACATGCTGCGCTCTCTGTCCACCACTCGGCCCACAGTCAACACTGAAGACCTGCTCAAAGTCAAGAAGTTCACTGAGGACTTTGGCATGGAGGGCTGACACAGCTGCTCTGGAGTCAGGCTGCTCTTTTATTTATAAGATACACACGCTGCCTGCTTCTTCGCTAAGTGGATGTCTAGGCTTATTGTGCAAACGCCACAATAAAACAGCACAGAGTCCCGGCATTTCAGTTCAGCCTCTGCTATGCCGGAAGCCCTCCGCATCTCCATGAGCCTGTCCATCTCAGAACTACAAACTTTTTTTCTGTTGCCATGGTGATGTATTCTTTGCAACATTTCAAAAGGTGTAATTGCGTTTGCGTTTCTTGTGTCTTAATGTTTTTGGAGTGTCCCTCGGAGCAGCGGACTCACCTAAGATGGTTTGGATTGCAGCGAGCCTGAAGACAACACTCAGGGATGGAGCCCCTCGAGCTGTGTTCTGTTCAAACTACGTGATCCGAGCTGAAGCCCTTGAAACAGGAGATGTTAAGTGTGATGTCACTTCTGAGTCCATCAGCAGATTGAAAACGATGCTTGCACTCACTTTTTTAGCAACAACACATTAAAGAAGCGGTATTATGCAATTTTAAATTTTTTTTTTTTACTTTGTACCATGTTACAATATTGTTCCCTCATCAAAAACATACTGAAGAGGTTTTAAATGTCATCCATGCATGTTTGAGTATTTAGTGATCTCTCCGGGTCTATTCGAACCCTCCTTACGGTTAGCTGTAAGATTCTGTGCAATGCTCAGTCCACACACCTTTGTTACTTATGATCCCACACGATAGTTCTTCATCCACAAGAACTTCTCAAACCTCAGGCCATGTGCAGTAGTTTCCTTAGCGGTACATTCCTTAGAGGAAACTTCTGCACACATAGCATTTTCAAAATATTAAAATGTAACATGGTGATCTAAATATGTTATTGTTAGCAGTTAATACCCCCAATACTCCCTCTTTAAAAAAAAGATTGCAGTTGTTTTACAAGGTTATAGATCTGTAGATAACTGTAACTGTGACAGAAAGTGTAACAGGGCAGTTGAGATAAGGAGGTGTGTATCTTATTAACTCACAGTCACCTATAACTGTTGGTTAATGAGATACACCCGTTGGTAATCTTATGTTATGATAAATTATTACTCCATTATTTGCATATTTGATCCAGTTTGTGGTTTAACATAAACTTTTGAAAGGTAACTGGCTCTTGTTTGATGAATAAAGAACAAAAACAAAGCTTGTAATGAGCTGCGAAGTTTCTAATTGGACCCAGAAGTGACATCATCGCTTAACAAATCAAAGGATCTCAACAGTGAACGCTTGCTCCCTGATTGCTGAAGTAAATGTCTCATTCATTTTTCCCATAGACTTTTAGAAAAAAAAATATTAAAAGATTGTAAGCTTGCTCAGAGTAAATCAATTATGTGGTAGCTAACAATCACAAGATCTTATTATTTGAAATTTCTTTCTGAAACTTTATAAATACCGTATTTTCCAGGCTGTTAGACGCCCTCTTAAACCTCCAACCCCATCAAAAAACGATTGCGTGCCCCGCAATCCAGAGCGCCCTATACACGAATCCACTCTAGTGTCCCAGCACGACTTCAGTAAACTACAAAGCCGCAGCGCACGCAAACAGGCACGGAGCAGACAGCGACCGCGCAGTCTATGGGAAAAATAAATGCACTTTCGGATCCTGAGTGGGCAGTCAGTGTTTAACTCCACATAATTCTCTCATTACTCATTTATAATTCAGTGAAGTATTATTAGTTAAATCCACAATAGTTTGATTAATCTGTCTGTCTCAGTTTCCCACCATGTGTTACTAAACAATGACTGTGTTGATAATATTGTATATAAGAAGACTTTTGGCCTGTTGATGGAAAAGCGCACGATCGAAACTCCTAAATATGTTCCCTGTTTTATGTGACGTGTGATGAGATTGAAGAATGCTCTGTACATGACTGACTCGGACACTGTTTACATTCACTACCATGTTTGTGTGCACACTACATTATTGTGGTAGTATTAGTCCTGTTTTGGATCCATCCCTCTCTACACTAATTTAAGATGAATAAATGACAGCAGGTGTGTGCCTGTGTGTGAACTGTGTGAGTCTAGTGCATACGTCACATCTGCTGCTTTTTTTGTACTTCTTCCTTTATGTGGACACAATTTTTCTTGAACACAGAGTAGAGGACTACAAGCCTACAAAATGTCAGTCCTCTGTGTGTGATACTTCTGGAGATCTTGACCTGTGAAAACGACAAAAAATGATGCTCATATTGGGCTCGTAAATGGACACATACCGCCCTCACTAAATGAGCTGTGATTTGAAAAGTATTGATCGAAAATGACTCAGATTTTACAGGGTTGGTACATGATAGTAAGGGACCAGCTGGTATTTTTTTTTTAAATCATGATGTGTGAGATTTTCCGGAAATTTGATGAAATGGCGTGGAATGACCCAATAGTCTTTTTATTAGGTTGCTGAAATGCATCAACTCAAACACTTTTACTTCTTTGTCAAAACACAGACCTCGGCATTGTCAGAGTACTGGTCTGGTGGTCTGGTGGTCACGTAAAGGTTAGGTGTAATTGCATATTTTTTTTATAGTGTATCAATTTCTGTACTTTCATCAGGCTCATTCTTCCATTTGTTAAAGACAAAGCTCTGTGGTTTGTAGTGCCCCCTAGTAGTTAAAAGCTTATTATATGAATATATAGGGAGAAAGATTGGAGAAAATAATATTACTCAGCAGAAATTTGGTGTTCAAACTCAATTAAAAAAATAAATAAATAAAAAACTCAAATGAAGACAGTTGTATCTATGCATGTCATCATCTCAGTGGTTTGGGGCCAAATGTTCTGATTTCCAAAGACGCAAACAGTAGAAACAGGGACACTATAAGATCAACCTGATGGAGCCTGTCACAATAAACCCAAAGTATGTAGGGCCTATACCTTTTTAAAGCAAAAATAGACTAAAATAAAGACATAAGTTTCTTTTTATTTTTCTATATTGTATTGGTCGTGTTTATTGGACATGTCCCTACTATGAGAGGGCTTACTGACTCTTTGGCCTGGAGAAGGGCCTCCTACTGCTTGTTTCTATGGAAAAGATATTTGTTTTGCTATAATATTCCACAGTATGACATAAAACTACATCTTAAGTCCTATCACTACAATAACTAAACCATCCAGAAACACTGAATTACAAAAACATTACTTTGGCAAAAGGAGTCACTAATTTGCTCTAGTGTAGTTCACTATATATAGATGCAAATACTAAATAAAGGGTTAGGCATACGTTTTATTTTGACTACTTTTCAAGTTCCTTTGGGCCTCGTTTGTCTTCTATTTACTTTGTACTGTGTAATGTATATATTTAATGCATAATGAAAACATAATAATGTATGTATGTAATGTATTGTGTTTGTTTTGCTCCCTAATCAATCAAGTGTATCATTTATGATAATCAGTAATTAATAATAACGACAGTATATGTGGGGCTGTGGCTGACTGTGAGTACTCAGAGGGGCCCGCAGTGGGCGCTGTGCTCCTGTAAATCTCACCTATTTCCCTGGACCAAGATCGTGTGTTCGGGAGTTTTGCATCAGACTACAGAAGAGCAATACTCTCCATTATTATTTGAGGGACCACAGTGGGTCAGTGGTTAGAAAACAATCTGAAGGTCAGAAGATTGCTTCTGTCAGTCTGCCCCAGGGCAGCTGTGGTTACAGTAGTAGCTTACCACCACCGGGTGTGGAGTGAATGAATAATGGCAACAGTGTCTCACTTTGAGAGGCTTTGGCAAGGTTGTGATGCACTATTATTATTGTCATCAAAGGTGAAGTCAAACTTTGTACTCAAGTAACAGTAAGAGCGTTGCTTCAAAATAATATTACTCAAGTAGAAGTACAAAGTAGCAGTCCAAGAAATTAGAAAAGTAAAAGTAAAATCACAACAGCAGTCCTTACAGGACTTCACAAAATAGTTGATTTGACCCACAGAAAATTAAAAAATCCAACAGCAAAACAATCACTAGTCAATAAGAGACAAGCAGATGACCAGCATTCATAGAAAACAAGCATGTGGATAACTCAGGTAAGAGACTTTAAAGATTTGACACACTTTCTGGCATCAAATGTAGTCACTGTGAATGCATATTTGTGTTTGCTTTCTTTGAAATTAATGCAAGGTTTCTATGAAACAAATGATTGTTCATTTACAAGAGTGTGGGAATTTGAATTTGATTGTGTTGAATCCACAGAGTCTGCACACAAGCCCTTTGCTGTAGCTGCTGTAAGTTAACCGGTGTTACAGTTGATGTTCAGGGATGGTGTGCAGCAACATTCTGCTAACAGCATTTGAAAATGTCTGTTTTTTATGACATATACTTTCTAGTTAAAATGTATAATTACTTGGAGTGGGAGTCGGGGGACTTTGTAACTGATGCCCTATTGAGAAATTTGAAGACAATTACATGGTAAGTATAACTGTCCCAGAGCGCCCCCTGTCCTTAGACTCTCTTTCTGCAGGAGCAACTCAAAAAATAAATAAAATAAAATCAAACAATAAAAGAGTAAAATTAAAAAGAACACTACAACAACAACAACAAAAACATGGGCAAAAAGAGAAACCTCAAGGAGAACCACAGTGAAGAAGAGATCCATGGGACTAAACTGGGACTAAACCAGGATGGACAGGCTGCAGATGTGGCAACAGGATCAGTGAACAGGAGTGGCATTTAGGGGACAGCAGGCAATAGGAGGGCATCAGTTACACTGACCAGAGGGAAGTGAGATAAAGTTGTGAATAACAATGAACAAACTACAGGTGAATTGAATATCGATCAAAATGCAGATACATGCAAAGGTTAATGTCAAGTTATGTCAAGTTTTAGAGGCTGCGTGCTGAAGCTACGTGAACGGGTGATGAAACATCCAGTGTTCGGTCTTTATCAAGTTGACAGAATTGAAGCTTCTTTTACCAATGATGTTCAAACACCATGGTCATTCAGGTTACGCTAACAAGTCCCAGAGACAAAGCAGGAACAAAATCCAGCAAGATATTTTTCACAAAACACCTGTTCAAACATCATATAACATGTAACAGAGCTGCATTAGCTTTAAACTAGTCAATTTTACATTTTTAACATCTGAAACTTATATGGTTTGAACATAAAATACAGCCACTGTGAGAAATACACACTTTACATATAAATGTAAGGTATGTATTTCAGAACCATTCTTATAAATGTGATATGTTAATGTGTGCATTTGATAATGAAAGCTCATTGGAAACACAGCAAAACCGTACCACCTGAGGAATGAGTAGGAGTCATTTAAATGCCAAAAGATAGGAAAATGTTTTGCATTTCAATAGTTAATGTCGTCTCTGACCATAGGCAGACATGTGGTCTAGCTTGGGGACAGAGAGGGCAGGGCAGCCTTGGAGCAGGCAGGGCAGTCTGACGTCCATTCTGTTGTTTGGTTTGTTTGCACCAAACCCACACAAGAACATACACTACACGGTGCATAAAAAATATATGACAATAATAATGCATAAGATCAAGTGTCTCAGGGTTTAAATGAATTGTTCATGAATAAAAGAACAAACAAACAGCATCCACAATGATCAAAACAATATCTACAACAGACACATAACGACCTTCAGACTATTGTCATGAATTATTTGCACACAATAAATAGATTCACAGATGATTCCAAACTCACAGCACACAGGCCATAAGTGAGTTTTAAGTGGGTCACAAAAGATGTAAAAAAGGTGGTATTTTACTTCTATGGGGTATGATGTTACCTTTTATTGTTGTTGTTATTGTTGTTTATTGTTTTGAATATTTATGGAGAAATGTCATGTGGGAGCATGGGTGATGAAGGTTTGTGAGCAGAATCCCACAGCTAACCATAAGGAGTGTGGATGATATCTTAAACCTTTTCAAACATGTTTTTGACGAGGGAACAATATTATAATATGGTAGACAGCTCCAAAAAATCAATTTAGCATAATACCCCCTCTTTAAAGGGCCGATATAATCTATGTTCTATATTGTTTCCTCATCAAAATATACTCAAAGTTGTGTTTTGTTTCATTCGACATTTAACACACAAATCCTGCATATTTAGACTGAGTTCTTCTCTCAAACTGAAAACAATCTTCATGACATTACAAGGTGGAATAGAGCATAGACAAACTAATAATGCAGGATTGTTCAAACGTGTGAATGAAACAAAACACAACTCCTGGTATGTCTGTGATGAGATCACAGCATAATGACATGGCTCACAAGAATCCATTTTGCATAATATGAGAACTTTAAGCATACACAGCCTAATGGATCTAAGCTTTAGTTACTTTATCTAAAAAACTTACTCTGTGATTCACAGAGGAGTATAGACACAAGGAAATATGAAGCTCTGAGTTAAAACGCCATGTAGAAAGTAATCTGAATGACCAGGGGTAGGACAGGACAGAAGTTCTTGGAACTTCCATGTTCTCCATTTCAGTATACAGGATTATGACAAGCTCCAGCTCATGGTGTCAAAGACCAGACTAAAAAAAAACAAACTCTCTGTGACCTAAGGTGTAGAATGCTCTGCCTCCTCACATCCAGACAGCTCCCACAGTGAAACTAAATTGGACAATAATTACAGATAGGGATAAAGTCATGACTTCTTACTCAAACACCCCACAGAAGGATGCTCCTCAGTAGCCTGTCTATGTATTTAAAACTCATTATACAGTACAGTCAATCTCTGCACGTGGATGTGAGCACACACTCGTTGTACAAGTGCTGCTTTCTTTTAGTTGATTGAGTAAATTCTCTGGACTTTATTTCTGTTTCAAATCCACTCTTTGTCTAAACAGAAACTAACAAAGACAAGAAGAAAGGCCTCTCTTCCTCAAAAGCAATTCCAAAAATCTGGTAACTGACTGGAATCCCTGTTTGTGGAGTAGGGCCAGTGTCTGGCAGGACGATGTGTTCAGAGGCTCACAGGACCACACAGCTCTCCTTTGGCACTGGTGCTTTTACCTGGAGTTGTGTTTAGTTTCATTCACACATGTTTAACACACAAACCCTGCATATT